ATAGGTAGTTAAGATTAGTTAGTTAGCTAAGAGTAATATAATAAGCTAAATAAGGTTCTATAAGGTCAATAGAACGTATAAACAAAGTATACATAATTAATTACTATATCGGTCCCCGGTTTCCTTACACTTTGTAAGAAATTACAAGCAGATATAACGGGTTGTTACGTAAATTTAGTAAAGTGTGATGTAGTTATATCATTGGCCTAAATTTCTTAAAATAATCAAAGAATTAGACAGAAGACTCGAGAAATGAAAGCTGAATGAACATGTATGGCATCTCATATCAGCATACGGAATGGGTGTCCTTAAAAGGTAAGAGAGTGCATTCGAGAGACTTCGCTTTGATATGGGCAGAAACGAACCCACACAGAAACTAACCTTAGACAAATCCGCAAGCTCCATTGACTTCTCATGATACTAATCAGGTGAACTGAAAAGAAAGGTTAACCTCAGAAACGATGCTGCAACGTACCTGAAGGTCAAGATATCCTTCTAACGGAATGTCACAAAATCAATAATAAGGTACCAAAGATAATGGTCGCAAAAGATGCAGAACCTAGAATCGTTCATTATAATTAAACGCTTAATAGATCATCTTTGCTTAAAAAATTTAATCATAATTGGTATTAATAAACTCTCAGTCATATTTCAGTTTTTTTGACAGTATAGTTTTCAATTTTACTATGAAATTTAGAATAATTATCTTTAAAATTCTGCAAATTTGTTAAGATTTGCAAATTTTGTAAATTAGACATAATAACTTTTAATTTCTAAAAAAGCTAGTTTAAATAGAGAGAGCAAACTATAATAATGCTAGTATTGGAGATGCAACATAGTATGATTTTACATACGAAGTAATCTACAAACCACCCTTGCAGAATCACAGCTTCAGAAAATTCACGTGAGTATCTACAATAAGAAAAAGTCTATTTTATTCCTTTTTAAAGATATCATAGACCTAACCATTGAACAACAGTTAGAATGTTTAACACTCGACTAGCTTTATCACCCAAACGTATCTTCAATAAGGATATATGGAAAGTCTCTAGAAGATTTAATAGTAATGGAGCAAACAGAACCAGATCAAACTTTATCAAAGGAGCCTTCTTCAGCTCTATTCTAATTGGTAGTACTGGTATAGCATACAAATATGGAAAGAATTCTACTAATCTGACGCCGTCATCAGAAAATTTCCCACTAGAATCTACAACGAAGTTAGAAAATATTTCTCCACCAAAGTATTGTTCCGAAAGTGAATTATTACAAGCTGTCAAAGAATTAAAAGAACTTTTGGGAGACAAAAATGTTTTCAATTCCAAAGTAGAGCTCGAGCACCATACAAAGAACGAGTTTACACATCATTTGCCTAGAGAACACGAAAAACCAAGATATGTTATTTATCCATCGTCCACAGAAGAAGTCTCAAAATCTATGAAGATTCTTTTCAAGTATAATGTACCAGTGGTACCATTCAGCGCAGGCACTTCATTAGAGGGCCATTTCTTTTCAACAAGACAGGGAATCTCGATGAACACATCGAGAATGGATCAAATTCTAGAGATTCATCATGATGATTTGGATGCGGTTGTTCAAGCGGGTGTGAACTGGCAAAAGCTAAACGAAGAACTAGCACCACATAATTTAATGTTTGGAACTGATTGTGGACCGAATGGCTTGATCTCGGGAATGATAAACACAAATGCATCCGGTATAAATGCTTCGAGATATGGTGCTATGATTAGTAATGTTATATCCATTACTGTTGTACTTGCCGATGGGACTATTGTGAAAACCAAACAAAGACCTCGCAAATCCAGTGCGGGATACAATTTGACAGGGCTATTTATTGGTAGTGAAGGAACCTTAGGAATCGTGACAGAGGCGACTGTTAAGCTACATGTCAAGCCTCACTTCGAAACTGTAGTTGTAGGCCAATTTCCATCTATTCTAGACTCAACTAATGCCGTGGCTCAGATATATCGAGCAGGTGTTCATCCAAATGCAATAGAATTATTAGATGAGGACATGATGCACTGCATTAATTACAGTGGGTATTTTACTCGCCACTGGCTAGAGTGTCCGACTCTCTTCTTCAAAATTGGCGGTATAAATGAAACTGTCGTCAACGAATATGTTAACAAGCTTAAGGAAATATCCATGCAAAATAACTGTGAGGAATTCATATTTGCCCAGAATGAAGAGGAACAAGAAGAACTCTTCTCAGCCCGAAAAAATGCTTTCTATGCCATTTTAAACTACGGTAGAAACGAAATACACGAAGATGTCAGACTTTGGGTCACAGATATTGCTGTTCCCTTGTCAAAACTCTCTCCTGTGCTCACAAAAGTGGACGAACTCATAAAAAAGTCTGGTTTGCAAAGTGTTATTCTCGGCCATGTTGGAGATGCAAACTTTCATGCTGATGTTTTCTACAAGCCAGACGAAAAGAAAAAGTGCGAGGAGCTTATTCACAAAATGATGTTATTAGGGTTAGAAAATGAAGGTACTTCCAGTGGTGAACATGGTATAGGTAATGGTAAACGGAAGTATCTCGAGCTAGAATTGGGGACTGATGCGGTGGATTTAATGAGAAGATTAAAATTTTCTTTGGATCCAAAGAGATTACTAAACCCTGACAAAATCTTTAAGATTGACCCTACTGATGATAGAGATTAATTTACCCCATAGACATATATATCTATCTTGTGATATCTGTATTACTCCGATATCCGATTATATAATCAAATATATTGTTGATGACTAAAAGTACGTTATCGTAATCGACTTATATCAGATCAATTTTATTTCTCGAACAAAAACCGACAATCTCAGATAAAGACTATTGAAAATTTTTTTTAAACAGTCAAATTTTAATACTATAAACAAGGCCATAATCGGTATAATTTTATTCGGTACACATAGGATAGACGTTTATATTGATTTACCGGAAAACAAAGTAGAGAATTAAATCAAAATGCTGTTTAATACCGAACAGTTAGATTCGAAGTTGGATAGTTTAACCCTCGCAGATAGCTATAAACAAGAAAATATTGATAAGAATAAAAGGAATAATTCAGAAAATATGACAAGTATGACACAAGGAACTATGAACGCACAAGGAAAAATAAATTCTAATAAACCTAAGACGTCGTTGCTATCGTCGTCGCTTGCCAAAGAAAGACAGTTACCCCATGCAAATGGCTTCAGTCCAGCCGTCAGTGAGAGAAACGAAAATCTGTATATGGCCATAGATGACCGTATGGAAACGGAGCCTAATTTCACGGATGATCATCCAGAGCCCACATTATTGGCTAGTTCTGTTGGAAAAGAGATAGATGGGCGTTTGATTCCGTCGTCGTCCACAATATCGTTATTATCGTTAAACGGACAAAATAATGGACAAGGATGTAATTTTGAAGCGACAGAAGTCGATGTGAATGGAGGAAATACTACTCACGGTAACATGACGTCGCCAAAGAATTCGAATAATAATTTTGCTGGCAATTATAATTATTCACACATAGCATCGAATACTACACCTCAAACTGCATTTATGGATCGCAAGACGGGACATAACAATATAACGAGTAGAAATTCTTTGACTCACTTGAACCAAATAAGGCTTCAACCATATCAAAGATTCAGCTCACCTTCGTCTCAACAGCAATTACTACAACAAGACGTCACATCTAGTGCTACCTGCCAAAGTATACCAATAGAGAATAGGTCGTCGATTATAGTACCAGATTCACCAAATTTAGACCCAACTTCAGTAGGAGGTTCCCCATCTGGATTGTGGTTATCGAGCCAGAGCCCTTCAAAACCATCGGTAGGTTCGTGGAAGAACAACTCAAGGAGTCAATTATTCCATATGCTACACTCTCAACAGAAGCACCAACAGTACGATCCTATGCAATCATCTGAAGTCATTCAGACTACTCAACCTTCGCCACACTCTTCAAACCAATTAATCTATAACGCAAGTGCTTCGAATAATTATACGACCACTTCAACAGTTAATTATTTGAAAATAGATGGAAGTACGTCGCCGATTCTACATCCAGTACAAACTCCGTCTGAAGATCCACCAATGACCCCTCTCTATTTAAATTCGAATTCCCTTAATCAGAATGACGTTGGATACTTCGGAAATATAGCAGAATAGAGGATGTGTATTTCATCAGATTCATTAATATTAAAAGTATTTATTATATATATCTATTAGAGTCGTATTAGGTTATAATTAATTATATTTCGAATAAAGTATTTCGAACGAAATTTCCTTCAAATTTCAATAGAGGCAAAATTACTCGCAACTTATCAGTATAGATATACGGTTCCTTCAAACATCACAATGTCCACATATGAAGGTATGTTTCTTTTAGACTAGCCATAAGTATCATCTCACTAACTCTTATAAAATAGACGATCATAATATAAATAGAACAAGAACTGCTTCCAATAATGACGATAATAATAGACATGGAAGACAACATCAAACTTTATCAACGATAATCGATTCTTTTTTGACACAAGATACACAAGCATCTTCCGATAGCTCTCGGGAGGCTTTCACAAATGCATTGAGAGTAATGAATACGGAAGAAGGACTGACTTTAGCGCTAGAGCTTGCAAACTCCTTAGAAAATTCAGATCTTCAATTCAATGATAATAAAGAAAAGGGTGTATCACAAGAATTTTTAGATTCTTTGGAGAGAGTATCAATTAAAGATTTGCCAAATAAAGAGACAGCAGATTGTCCTATATGTACCAATAAGTTTATTGATGATGAATATCCACTTTTAGTCAAATTACCGTGCAGTGTTCAACAAATAAATGGTAAAAAGGCAAAGGGTCACATCTTTGATTTAGAATGCATTGGTCCTTGGTTGAAAGTAAATTCTACTTGCCCGTTGTGTAGATTCGACGTATTAGAAGTCAATAAGAAAAGGAAAGAAAAACTAGAAGAAGAATTAAGGAAAGCTAAAGAAGAAGATGATGAGGAAGAAGATGAAGACTGGGATGATTACGGTTGATAATGTAGTAGAACCTATTATTTAATGATTTATATATACAGAGAGAATGAAAGTTCAAGCTTATTTAGATTCTTTTGGGGATTCAGTAACCTCGGCTTCACCATCGAAGTATTTCTTAAATGTATCCGATTTTAATAATTCTTCTACCTTTTTAGCAATTGGATCATCAGATCCCTTATAAGCATCAGGCATATGCAAGTCTTCGGCTGACAAAGCGTCCAACTTTTCACAGAAATCTAATGATTCTCTAGTGTGAATTAATGCATTATATTTGACTCCTTCAATAGCATGCTTATTAATGAAAGATAACCACAAATCCACAACTTCTGGTGTTGCATCATATGCATATAATTTTCTTCCGTAGGTAGTTCTTTTGAAATTTTCCTTCGATTTTGCTTGTGCAAAGGGAGATTTGATCACAGTATATAATCTCTTTTCAGTTTTAAGGGAATGAATCTTGGAGCATGGAATCCCCAAATAAAATGCTGCTCTTGCAGCAAACTCGGAAGATCTAATAATACTGTCTTTGTCGTATCCTTTAAACTCAAGCTTGGCGACTTCATGTCCATGTGTTGGTGGTAATTGTACAGGTTTATATTTTAATAATTCAACATTCAATGGAATAGGTCTCTTGGTAATAGGATTTAATTCATTTTCCGACAAATACTTTGGATCATACTTATATTCTTCATTTAACAAATTTTGTTTGTATGCTTGTTCTTCTATTTCATCAATTTGTTTCTGAGAAGCAAACTCGTTTGGTGATAAAAATTTCTTTGGTGAAGTATTTGTTTTATTATAACATGCTCCAATAGTAGAGAACGCACGAGCTGAGTGATTACGCACACCCAATATACGACTTAACATGGTATTACGGACTATAAATGTATTAGTATCTGCTTCTATTTCAAATGGATCCATATACGTCTTGAGATTGGACGAACTGTTGATAATTTTTCACACGACCAAATTTTTTTTTCCATATACCGGAAGATGACTTTAAATACTACTTCTTTCTAGCTGGCCATAGAGGACATGGGTAAATCAAGTAAGGATAAAAGAGATCTCTACTATAGGAGAGCAAAAGAAGAAGGATGGAGAGCGAGATCAGCATTTAAGCTTCTTCAGTTGAACGAACAATTTCAATTATTCAAAGGTGTTAAAAGAGTAGTTGACTTATGTGCTGCACCAGGATCATGGTCCCAAGTATTGTCTCGTGAATTATTTGAAAACCAGAAACAAGAAGATGCTAAGATAGTTTCCGTTGATTTACAGCCAATGACACCAATAGATGGAGTGACCACGTTACAAGCTGATATAACGCATCCTAAAACATTACAAAAAATTCTTGAGATTTTTGGAGGAGAACCGGCAGATTTTGTCTGTAGTGATGGAGCCCCCGATGTTACTGGATTACACGATTTAGATGAATATATTCAAGCTCAGCTTATCTTGTCGGCTTTACAATTAACTACGTGTATCTTAAAACCAGGGGGGGCTTTTGTTGCGAAAATTTTCAGAGGAAGGGACATTGACTTGTTGTATAGCCAGTTGAGTTACTTATTTGAAAGAGTTATCTGTGCTAAACCAAGATCTTCTAGAGGTACTTCATTAGAAGCGTTTATTGTGTGTTTAGGTTATAAACCAAGAGAAGGTTGGAATCCTACTTTGGACTTGACAAAATCAACAGAAGAATTTTTTGAGGGAGCAAATATTGGTAGAAGTGACAACTTGGAGCATTTGGATCTTCCGGAAGATGAAGAAAGATTAATCGCCAAATTCGTTGCCTGTGGCGATTTAAATGATGTTGATTCAGATGCAACATATACCTTGGATACTAATTTTAAGAAATTAGCTTTAGATCCTGTTCAAATGCCCACCGCACCTCCTTATAAAAAGGCACTAGAGATGAAAAGAAGAGGTGATTTGGTGAGAAGATGAAGTTCGTTAATGTTTATTTCTTGTATAATAGCTTTTTTTTATTTCATATAAATACGTGTCTCAGAATAATATATATTAAGAACAATTTATGGCGCTAAATCTATAAACTAAATTAAACTAATTTTCAGAAGTTTCTTCACCTTTAACTAATGCATCGGGCTTTAAAGTTGGGAATAACAAAACTTCCCTGATAGTGTTAGAGTCTGTTAAGAACATGGCTAATCTATCAATACCACAACCCCAACCAGCAGTTGGAGGTAAACCGTATTCTAAAGCGTTACAGAAGGTTTCATCAACCATCTGTGCTTCATCATCACCTTGAGCTTTTTGTCTAGCTTGCTCTTCGAATCTTTGTCTTTGATCAAATGGATCGTTTAATTCTGTGTAAGCATTACAGATTTCTTTAGTAGCGACGAAAACTTCGAATCTTTCACACAAACCAACAATATTTCTGTCTTTCTTTGCTAACGGAGACATCATTTGAGGATGTCCGAAAATAAAAGTTGGGTTAATGGAAGCGTCTTCTAATTCACCGACCAACTTATCTAACATTCTAGCGTTTGTTAATGGTGGTGCACAATCTAATTTGTGGTCAATTAAGATTTGCTTTAAGAATTTACCAGTTTCTTCGGTATGCAATTGATCACCAGCTGGGAACTTAACGTTGTAAACCTTTTCTAATTCTTCAATCATATTAACTCTCTTCCATGGTCTGGAGAAATCTAAAGTTAAAGCTTCACCTTCTGGACCATCTGGATGGTAGGCAACCTTGTAATCACCAGTAATTTCCTTGACCATTTCGGAGAAAAGTAATTCAGTCATATCCATTAAGTCATAAACATCAGCGTAAGCTTGATAGAATTCACAAGTGGTGAATTCTGGGTTATGGGTCATATCGATACCTTCATTTCTAAATTGACGACCAATTTCGTAGACTCTGTCCATACCACCAACAACTAATTCCTTTAAGAATAATTCTGGTGCAATTCTCATGAACATATCCATATTTAAATCATTATGATGAGTAATGAATGGCTTAGCCGTAGCTCCCCCAGCAATGACGTTCATCATTGGTGTTTCAACTTCAGTGAAATCTCTAGTGTCTAAAAATTTACGAATAAAAGAAATAATCTTAGATCTGACCTTGAAACGATCTCTGGTAGATTCGTTCATAATCAAATCTAAGTAACGCTTTCTATATCTTGCTTCTTGATCCTTGAAACCAAAATGTTCGGTTGGTAACATGTGTAAACATGGTGTCAATAATTGAACAGAAGTAGCGAAAACGGAAACTTCACCTTCACCACCTTTAGCTGGGTTTGTTCTGGCTGGGTAACCAGTAACACCAATAATATCACCTCTTCTTAAGTATTCGTGCATTTTTTCGTATTCTTCAGCACTTTCAACATCTTGAGCTTGAGCCATGATTTGAATTTGAACACCATCTCCCTTCAAAACGTAGAATTTCAACTTGGACCCGGATTCTCTCTTACCCATTATTCTACCACTTACCTTGACTTCAACGTCTTTCAAAGCTTCACCCTTCTTCAAGTCCTTGTATTTTTCAGCAAATGCTGGTAATTTGATAGACACTTCGAACTTGTGTGGGTAAGGGTTGAAAGCACTGTTATCGGCGAGGTTAGCTTGTCTCAATTCGTCGATTTGACGAGATCTGATCTCAAAATATTGGTTTGGGTTCAAATCAGCTAACTGATCTTTCTTCTTGGCGACCTTTGGAGCGGTGGCGGCACCTCTAGCTGCCTTTTCTGCCTTTTTAGCTTCATTAGCTCTTTGCTTTTGTCTCTTTTTTAATTCGGTTTTTGAAACTTGTTCACCGGTGACATCATCTAAATAGGTTTTTTGTAATTGTTCAGTAGCCTGTGCAACTTCTTCAGACATTTTTGCTTGTTTTACTTTTGAAATGGCTTAATAAAGATTTAAGGACTAGTTTGAAATCATGTATAAGTATATTTCACCGATAGCATTGAAAAAAATTTTGAGTCACAGATTACGTAATTTTAGATAGAATATTACATAACTGGAAATTTATTTCGTTCATCGGTATGAAAAAATTGCATAGAAAGAAGGTAAGGACAGCTGAATATTAAAAGATTAGTACTAATAATTGTTGAATATGGCTACTAAACAAGTGTATGTATTGAAGTACCAGCACTAGTTAACGTGAATAAAAAAAAATGTATACTAACGATTATAGAAAATCATATCAAGCGCCAACAACAACATCAATTGATGTTGAATCAAGCGTTGTCTTGTCATTGATCAGACACACATCAGAACACTATCCATCATTATATTCAGGAGCTTTATTGGGATTTGAATCAGACAGTGGAGCTTTAGATATCACCCATGCTTACGCATATCCATATCCTGATCAATACGAAGGGGGATCTTTACGTTCAAGAAGTGGGGCTAAATACCAACAAGATATATTGGAATCTTTGAAAAAGTTAGGATATGGTATTGGATTTCAAGGATGGTTTCAATCCACTGTTTCAGGAAATTTTGTTACTACACAATTGGTGGATGCTTTAGTTCAACAGCAATTGACTAACAAGAACTCATTTATTTTAATTCACAATATGGCTTCCATCGGTAAGGAATTAGATTTGAAGGCTATAAGATTATCGGAAAGTTTTGTCAGAACCTACTTGGACGGTAAATGGAAATCAAAGGATTTAGAGAGCCACAAATTATCATTCTTGAATATTTTCGACGAAATCCCAATTAGAATCCGTAACCAACACTTGGTCAACTTATACTTGGCATCTTCTACCAATGATACCAAATCTGAAAACGAATTTGACATCTTAAACTTATCTTCTAACCAAAATGTTACTGCCCAATTATTAGAATCCTTATACGGCCAAGTAGATGCATACAACTACGACCAAACCAACTACAACTACTACCAAAGACAGCACCAAAAAGAACAGAGTAAAATTATGCAATGGAAGCAACAGAGAAAGTTAGACAACTTAGAAAGAGCTAAGAGCGGTGAAAAGGAGTTGGATACCGAAGAATGGCAATCCTTGTTTAAGTTACCTACTGAACCATCAAGATACAACAATATGTTACACTCTCATGCCATAGACGTGTTAGCTGATGATATCTTGAAGAGATGTGACGAAGACTTAACAAAGAGTTTTGCGATCGAAAGAAAATTGACTACTGACAAATAGATGACCTATGTTTACTGTTATCTTTAAAATTTCTGATTGTTGTATACAACTTGCCATATTATATCATATAAATTATCTCTATACTATAATTCTTATGAATTAGACATTAATCTAACGGAAAAGGTTTTTAAGTAATACTAGTTGTACTGAATGTAGAAAATTGATCGCATCACATGATAATACCCATACATCATTAATTACAAATCAGTGATTGGCTTTATACACTTATAATATTAAGAAGCAAGAAGTAAACGTTAAGAATAGAAGATGGGAAAGCCAAAGGTATGTGTATTGGTATAAATATTACAACTTTATACAGAAATGGAACTAACAAGAATAGTACATCTTACTTGTAAGACATGGTGAATCAGAAGGAAATTGTGATAAATCGGTTAATAGATATACACCAAACCATAAAATTGCCCTAACAGATCAAGGCCATAGCCAAGCCAAATCAGCGGGGTTAGTATTGAAAGAATTTTTACTGCATGTATCCTTAGAAGACAAAGAACGAAATAATGCAAGAAATCCCAAATCGATACTTTTCTATACTTCACCATATACTCGAGCCAGACAAACCTGTAATAACATTATAGAAGGCATAAAAGATGTTCCAGGAGTGACATACAAGGTGCATGAAGAACCTAGGATGAGAGAACAGGATTTTGGTAATTTTCAAAGTACGTCAGAACAAATGGAGAAAGTATGGCAGGAAAGAGCACATTATGGGCATTTTTTCTATAGGATACCACACGGTGAAAGTGCTGCAGATGTTTATGATAGAATTGCTAGTTTTAACGAGACATTATTTCGTCAATTTCAGCAGGACAACTTTCCTAATATCTTGATATTGGTTACTCACGGTATATGGGCTAGAGTATTTCTCATGAAGTGGTTCCGGTGGAGTTACGAAGAGTTTGAGTCGTTGAGAAATATTCCTCATTGTCATTACCTTATAATGAAGAAACAGTCTGAAGATGGTAAATTTACATTGAAAACACCGTTGAAAACTTGGGATGATCTTCCCGATAGCGACATCGACGAGGAGGTGGTCAAGAAAGAATTTGGTGACGAAGTTTGTTTCAATACCAAGAACAAGCTTGCCAATCCGGAAGATTTTGACATCACCAGTATCATACGGGCCCAAAGAGATGCCATAAAATCAACTAGACACAAAGATCGAAAAATTAAGGATGCATTTCAAAAATCTATGAATACAACCCATGAAGTTAAACAAGATTGTACTAGTTCCCCATCAACCTTAGCATCACGGTTCACTCTTGATGACCAGAGCGTAGCTAATAGTGCGTCGAACAGCAAGAACAATAGTTTGGAAAATTTACAGGGCAATTGATATTATGCTATTGGTTTGGTTTTCTAATCTATTTATTTATTTATTGATATATACATCTATTTATACATCTTAATTTATATTTCAGAATACATATATCGTACGACTAGTCTTACTAGAATGCAACTTTATATTGGAATTACCTGTATACGGATGGTTATGTCCACGCTATAGATTGATTCCGGGATCAATTACTCAACCTCGGAACAAGGTCGTCCTTTTAATATAGTACAGTCTCGGACTTAATCGTATAAAAGGACGGTCAATTGCTTTATAGTCTCTTCTTTGATTATTTCTTATCAATTGGTATTCAATCGATTTATTAAAAACTTAATAGATAAATACAATAATAAAAAAATTCAAAATGGCTCGTCAATTCTTTGTTGGAGGTAACTTTAAAATGAACGGTACTAAGGAATCCGTCGCCAAGATCGTGGAAGGTTTAAACAAGGCTGATATACCATCAAATGTCGAAGTTGTCATTGCTCCACCAGCACCATACATTGCTTTAGCTGTCAATGAAAACAAGCAAAAGAATGTTGAAGTTTCTGCTCAAAACTGTTTCGACAAGGCTTCTGGTGCTTATACTGGTGAAATTTCTCCAGAACAAATCAAAGATTTAGGCGCCACCTGGACTTTAACCGGTCACTCTGAAAGAAGAACCATCATCAAGGAATCTGATGACTTTATTGCTTCTAAGACAAAGTTCGCTTTAGACCAAGGTTTATCTGTCATCTTATGTATTGGTGAAACCTTAGAAGAACGTAAGGCTAATGTTACCTTAGATGTCTGTGCTAGACAATTAGATGCTGTTGCCAGAGTTGTTTCTGACTGGTCCAAGATTGTTGTTGCCTACGAACCAGTCTGGGCTATTGGTACTGGTTTAGCTGCTACTCCAGAGGATGCTCAAGAAACCCACAAGGCCATCAGAGAACACTTATCTAAGTCAATCGGTGCCGATGCTGCTGAAAAGATCAGAATCTTATATGGTGGTTCTGTTAACGGTAAGAATGCTCCTGAATTCAAGGACAAAGCTGATGTCGATGGTTTCTTAGTTGGTGGTGCTTCCTTAAAGCCAGAATTCGTTGACATTATCAAGTCAAGATTGTAATCATCTCATTTATAGGCTGTTTATGTTTATGTCTTTTATAAAACGTTTATTTATTAAATCTGGACGTTATGTCACACTTACTCGTAGTCAATTTTTCACCAATTCAACCCCAGATTTTTTTTCTGGAATTTCGGTGGAAGGGAACTAGCTTCGGTTGTGAACACACATTGCTAAATCTATTATTCGTGAGTGAAACTGTAACGTTAACCTACCTATGTTTCAGGACAAGACAAACTTCTTTAGGCAATAGATTTGTTCCAATTGACGAATATAATTTCTTTAGCACTATCCTCCTCCCATTCTTTAATTGAGCAAATTTTTTGGAAAATCTGTTTAAACTGATTGAAATAATCTTCTCGTTTTTGAGGATCTAGTAGATATCTATCTATACCAACATCAGTCTCTAGTAGTATTTGATCATCTCCGAGTAATTTGACGAGGTCTTTCAAAAAATCTTGTTTCTTGTCAGAACCATTAATCCAATTTGAAAGCGAAAAATATAACTGTCGATTGGTCTTTGAGAAATGCCGTATCCATAAAGATGCCTGATCAAGAGAACCCGAGTAAGAATGAAGAATAACAGAAGATATACCATCTAGTCCTTTTCTACTAGTTACTTCGTCATATAATAACCCATGTGCTTTGACACAATGTAAAGAAATAGGCTTCTTCATACTACTAGCCAACATCAATTGTCTTGCAAATATGTTTGTTTGGTGTTCCATTTTAACTCTACAGGCAGATAGCTTATTCAGGCTATCATCGAGAGTGAGTTTCTGATTGCCAAAGTAGCCGTTCAGCGGAATTCTAAATAGTTTATCTAACCCAATTTCTCCAATTCCAACAGAAAATCCCCTCTCCTGATACTTAGTGGCGAGTCTCCGTATTTCCTCAATATGTGAGTAGATGCTTATTGGAATTGGTAGTATTTCCAACAATTCGGAGGACGGTTTAGGATCTAGCACCGATTCGTAATGATTTTTCTTCAATTCTTGTTCGTTCTCAAACTCTTCTAACTTGAGATCAGTAAACAAATGACTATACCATGGATGAATACCAAAATACGGGAGAATAGCTTTGTTTTCTAGTTTTTCTAGTATTAAATCTAAATGAAATATGTCTACATGATTTGAGGACATTACATGAAAGAACTCTTTTCGCCCAATTATCACCTCCAGAGTATTTAAAAATTCCCCCAATTCTTCTGCCTTTTGTGAAGTGCATTCCACGTCTAAATGACAGTGGCTGTCTGCAAAAAACAGTATATATTCATCCATTATCAAAGAAATATGTTGCTAATCATAGCGCTTAAGCAATAGTCCAAGAGCCTTTAAAAGCGTTGCACACGTGATCGTAGCAACATTATAAGGAATCAAGGCAAAGTTCTACATCCAAGTTTCCTTTAAGTGTAAAAGAATTGATACCTAAATAATTGGATTATATAACTGGATAAGTTACAATGACAATTATTATTGGATCTTTGTATGTATCGAAGTCTGGAGTTGTTTGAGGCTGATAATTATAAATTGAAGGGATATAAATACTAACATTCAAAATAGATTTTTACCTTACACGGTCAAATTTGACGTGGGCGGCAGAGCTGATTTTGATATCGACATAACTCAGAAAGATGCAACAGTGCCTAATATTCAAAATGATGCAAGAAATCAACAGAGAAAAAGTGTATCGGCAGGTAACGGCGCTGGCATATCACAAAGTTCAATCCTACCATCATTAAGTGCATCTCAGCAGCATACACCTCGCTCGGGATCACCCACTTTTAATGACAGCGCCAGTATAAGAACAGGTAGTGATATTGAGAAGGTGAATTCTGCACAGGAGTTCTTTCATAGCCATAAGAGAGGACCCAACGATGGTCAAAATATTCTCACAGACAACTTAAATGATAAACTAGGAGCAAAATTAATCCAACCAAGATCTAGATATAGTAATGTTGCATTTCAGAGCCTGGTAATAGATCCAAAGAAGAAGAGTGAAGATGCTGGTCTTCCAGGATTGAAAATCAACAGATCATCAAATAATTTAACATCCTTAAATAATTCATCATTTAGTTCCTATTCTAATATGATAGGTTTAAACCCAACTACCAATTCTTCTACGATGTCTATACCTTCAACTAGACAGAGGACTCCTGTTACTAAACCCGGGTTTACCTTACACAGCAATAGTAGCTCAAATTCAATTCCCGCACGTATCAAAGAAGTGGAAGAGGAGGAAGCAAGAAATAGTGATTATGAGAGTGATAAGAGTATCGATGAAGATCGCATTGAAAACTTTAATGATTTAGTGCATGGAAGAACTGAATCAAAATTAACCCCATTTGGGGGGTTTTCGAAGCCTGACTTGGAAGATGGTATATTGAATCAAGATAATATTTTTGAAGATGCACCATGGAAAGTCGTATTGGCAGGTAAAGGGAATGTGTCTTTGACAAAGGCTGTTAGAATCGCTGTAGATGCTGGGGGGATTAACAAACATAAGTGGGTAGGCACGTTAGCGATGCCAAGTGACGTAGTACCAAAATCAGTCATAGACGATATTTCTACTTCGTTAAGTGAAAACTATGACTGCGAGGCTGTATTTCCTAATGACATAACATTTCAAGGTCATTATAAGTCATTTTGCAAGCAAATTTTGTGGCCAACATTACATTATCAAATTCCAGATGATCCTAAATCGAAGGCCTTTGAAGACCATTCGTGGGGACATTATAAGTTATTGAATCAATTAGTGGCAGACAAGATTGTTGATTTGTATAAGAAAGAAAATGGCTCTTCTGATCCTAACGATCCCGATAATATTATTTGGATTCATGACTATCATTTATTGTTGGTACCAAAAATGATTAGAGAAAAGTTACCCGAGGCCAAAATTGGTTTATTTTTGCATGTTTCTTTCCCTTCTTCTGAAGTATTCCGTTGTTTTGCCCAAAGAAAGGCTATTTTGAGTGGAATGCTAGGTGCTAATTGCATTACTTTTCAAACTGATGAATATGTTAGGCATTTTTGGCAAACCTGCAATAGACTATTATTAGCTGATGCTAATGAATATGGAATAACTTATGATGGCAAGTTCACAATGATTAACACTATCCCTGTTGGCGTAGATGCAAAATCTTTAGAAGATTTCTTAGGGTCTAATGAAGTTAATGAATGGAGACACTTGATCAGAGAAAGATGGTCTAATAAGAAATTGATTGTCAGTAGAGATAAATTGGAAAAATTACGTGGTATCAAACAAAAGTTATTAGCTTATGAAAAATTCTTACTTAGCAATCTTGAGTACGTGGATTCGACTGTATTAATTCAAATTTGTCCGGGTGCAACTCAAGATGCAAACTATGAAAGCGAAATTATGTCTATTGTTGGAAGAATCAATTCGTTGACCGGTGATATTTCTTTTTCGCAACCAGTGGTATTATTACAACAGGATATCGGATTTGAGCAATACGTAGCTTTACAATGTGAAGCTGAAGTATTCGTAGTCGCTTCAATGAGAGAAGGCTTAAATTTGACTTGTCATGAGTACATAATTGCAACAACGGAAAAGAAATCTCCATTGATGCTCTCCGAATTCACAGGATCTTCACCACTTTTGAATTGTAATGGAGAAGGGGCTATTTTAATTAATCCATGGGATCTCAAAAGATTTGCAGAATTATTCAAAGTGCTGTTAGATATGGGATACGAAGAAAAAGTTAAACGTTGGTCTAATTGTTACAAGACTATTTGTAATCACGATTCTAGAAACTGGGTTGCAAATTGTTTACAAGGAATTAATGAAGGGTGGGATTATGATCATAGTAGGAATTTAAACAAATTAATTCCATTCACAAGGGATGTATTTGATTCATTTTATTTCCGCAATGATGGAGGTAAAAGATTATTCTTCTTAAATTTGGATACCCCTTCTGCTATTGCTTCAGCAAATGATCCAAATTCGAAATTTCATAAGCTTTCATCCAATTCAGCTGTAGCAGCAGCTGGCAAAAATGGAGCATTTTCTGAGCCTTCTAGATTTGCAAGTTTACTAAATGAGTTGTTGTCAGATCCTTTAAATCATGTTTATTTAACCAGTTTTTTGAAAAGGTCAGATTTAGACACCTTGTACAGTAGAAGCCCAAATTTGGGTCTCGTTGCTGAGAATGGAGGCTATATAAAGCTTACAGGGTCTGATAAGTGGATATCAATTATCGATGAATATGAACTTGAAGGATGGATGCCTCAAGTTTCACAGTTAATTGAATCAAAAGTGGAAAGGTTGCCTGGCTCCCATATAGAGGTAGAAGATTGTACAATCAGATTTCATCCTGGCAAATCTTTTGAAGATGATCGTGAAAGAAGTTTGTCTGTTTTAGGTGATTGCATTCAGCATATTAACGAACTTTTCCTGGATCAAGATGGTGTTCATGCAACTTTGATCAGAAATGTGCTAATAGTACAAAAGAATAAATTATCTTTGAAAGCCTTGAAATTCATTATTTCCTATTATAATCAAAAGAAACAAGGAATCAAAAGCGAATCTTTGATAGAACAATATCAAGTTAAACAGGTTTCTGGTTCTGCTCCCAGCACGCCAATCTCTGAAACTGCAAGCTTACCACCTATTGCAAGTCCTATTTCTGAAATCCACAAAAACCAGGTTACTGCATTATTTTTAAGTGGTGGTTCCACGCTAATCGATGAGCCAGGGTATGAGTATGCGAATAGTTTAGAGAGATCCGGTGAGATACCAGAGGTGTTAACGGTTACTGTACTCAGTGCAGACTCTAGAACTTCGGCAACTTATAGTGTTTCTGGAAAAAACGAATTATTAGGAATATTGTCAAAACCAGTAAATGACCCATATAAGAGCCACACTGCATAGTTACTAGATATGGTTTGTATATAGATAATAATAAAGCTTTTTTATTTACAATTATATAATTTACAAAAAGAACTAAAGTACATCCCTCTTCTAAAACTGCTTATCCTTATAACTTTCAGCCACTAAACTGTTGAGCTCGTCAAGGCTATCGATAAATGTTTTTTCTTCTTCATCTGCCATCACTCTATATTTATTCCAATAATGAACCAAAAACTCATCTTCCGTTAAAATAGAAGTATCCTTAGGTCTATTTACGACCCATATATTTTCTTTCGATCTCTTATGAGTTTCTCTATCATCTTCCATTCTCAACAAAATATGCTTCTTTGAAAGTAAAAGTTCATTTGCTTTACCATTACTTCGATCTTTTTGTGATTTGCCTCCTTTGTAATTGAACATATCTTCTTCCTCCACGGATTCATCAATCACTTTCTGGTGTTTTAACAACCGCAATCTTTCGTATTGACTCTGTTTCTTCTTCTTGATTAGTAAGTCCCACGTAGTTATCAAAGGATCTGATGCCTCAATCTCGTCTTCCACCTTGATGTCAGGAAATGGCAAATTGGCCTCAATATTCTCCAAGTCTTCATCTGTAAATAAATCGGATACACCGCTATACTTCTTCTCGTATTCATCATAATTAACTTTGCACGTTTCCGATATATTTTTCAAACTATTATAAGCATTGTATAGACTTGAATTGTTCGAGCCTGGTAATACTTTAAGCAAAATTTTAGGTAAAGAATTTTTCAAGTTGTGCACGTACGGATATGTGTAGTGGGATTTAGGCTGCAGTGATATAACCAATGACTCATGCATCAACACCTCTATAAATTGGAAAATCGTAGACTTGGTGTTTAGTTCTATATTTGGGTCATCTAAAGTATCTATGATTGTATGAAATAAGTAATCTTCACTTTCAGAATTCTTTAATGCAAAGTGTGCTGCTCTCGTCAAATTCTGAATAGAGGGTGTCAAACCCTTAAGAATCTGTGTGAATTGTGTACTAGCTTCGAATGAATCCATTTAATACAGCTATTCTATAAAGTGTTATCGATTCCTTATATCTTTCTCTATAGCTAACGACTTTTCATATTTCAGAAAGATTATGTCAAGATTACGTAATCGATTGGTGGACATTTAAAATTTTCAAGCAGTATGAATAGGATCTACTATTTTCTTCTTTTCTTTACTAAAAGACCTTATACGAATTCAAAATGGGTAAAACTGGTAAAGGTAAAGGTGGTAAGAATAGAAGAAGAGGTAAGAATGATAACGGTGGACAAAAGAGAGAATTGATCTACAAGGAAGAAGGACAAGAATACGCCCAAATCACCAAGATGTTAGGTAATGGTAGAATCGAAGTTAGCTGTTTCGATGGCGAAAAAAGAATGGGTCACATTAGAGGTAAATTGAGAAAGAAGGTCTGGATGACCCAAGGTGATATCATTTTGGTTTCTTTGAGAGATTTCCAAGACGATCAATGTGATGTTATCCACAAATACAATTCAGATGAAGCTAGAACCTTGAAGAATGTTGGTGAATTACCAGAAAATGCTAAAATTAACGAAACCGATACATTTGGTGGCGACGAAGATGAAGACGTCAATTTCGAATTTGGTGCCGAAGACAGTGAAGATGAAGAAGAAGGTGAAGATTTGGATATTGATGATATTTAAGTAGAGTTGCGCATTAATGGTTCCTATACATTGTATTTTATAGTTTAAATTTAGTTATTTATTCACCAATAATATATTGATAATATAACTCTTTGTATACTATACATTATATTGTTCGATACTATCGTATACGAACATAACTCCACAAATTAGTTCTGCATAAGCAAATCTATAAACATAATTTTGTTCGAATCAGTGCTATAATTATAATTCCAATTGTCTACCTACTCTTTCATGTTCTTTGATGATAATCTTGTGAGTCCTCGTCACTACCTAACTCAAAGCTGTCAAATCTCCTTAATCCTACTGTTTCTTCTTCATTATATTCATGTCTGTTGACTTGTAATGATCTTCTCATCGAAGAGAATCCGCCAACTCCATTATCTAAAGGTGCCATTTCTTTTCCGTTGTGAACACCAAATATTTCTCTATTGTCTTTTCCGTCGTTGTTCTTTCTAGAAATGTTCAATAAATAAACTCCGCTAAAAATAATCAAAAACCCAATCAATAATGAGATAATGTTGATGGCTGAAGCTGTGTTGAATCCTCTGAATAATATAAAAGATGCCATTAATGTGAAGGTGGTAAACGTAACATAATATAATGGGTTGACGATCGAAGTGTCAAATTGATCCAAAGCCTTATTGAAGTAATTCATCTGTGTCAAGATACACAACACTACAACAGCAATAAACAAGTAAGTAGAAACATATGTGAACTGGTTATGGCCACTCAAAGTTAACTTTAATGCAATACCAAAGGCCTTGATAGACATAACAGAAATGGAACCAACAGAAGAACAAATAGAAATGTAGATCATAGGGTTAGTGTGGCCGTATTGAGGAACAATTTTGTATATCATAAATAATGAATAAAGTGTGACTATGAAACAGTAGAATAAAAATCCCGGTTTCGTAGCATATCCCAATATTTCATCAACAGTCTGAATTTCTTTGTCTGGTGGAGCATGTAAGACAATAATAACCGAACCCATCAAACAAATTGCACATCCCATCTTACCTAATGTACCAAGCTCTTCTTTCAAAAAAACGGCAGCCAAAACAGCGCCAATGATAACAGATAATGCACCTAATGGTGTGACTAAAATAGCAGGAGCAAATGTGTACGCCGCAAAGTTAGCTACTTCTCCAATAGCCATGGTTATCATACCAGCCCACCAAATAGGATTCTGTAAATATTCATGTCCCTGAACTTGTGAGCTTCCATTCCTTGCAGAAGCATCGATTAAACCCTTCTTTGTAATAATAAACGATGTCCCTATGGCTAAAGACGACGACATAGCCAATCCCAATCCAATATATTTATCATCAACCATTTTTTATTCCTATGCAACGATCGTATATGAATTCAAATACAGAGAAATCCTTTAAATTAACCTTGATACTTGATCAATCTTGTTTAATAGTCTTAATTTAACTCTAAACTGAATAGTTACAGTATAAAATCTAGAAGTTTGATACGCGATTTTATCATTTTTGTTGATGATTTGTTCATATTCTGTCGTGCGCCGCAGCTGTCCAAAACTCAGACTAGCTGCAATAGATATATAGATACGTATATATATATTAATGTATATTATCTATAAGGTTCTATTTGAATGGGTATTGTCATTCTTTTGAATAATTAGTTATTCAACAACTCCTCTTTCATATCTTGTAATCTGTACCATCCCTCAGAATCTTCCCACATAGCCTTCCCTTTAGACATCAAAGATCTCACCGTTGTTTTTGCTTTATATTTCCAGTCTTTGCATACCACATCACCAGCCCCATGCTTTCCTGGTAGCTCACCAAGAGATTCGTATGCAGCAACTAAATCAGAACATGAATCAATGGCTTCATTCCAGGCAGACTCGTCAGTTTCCAATTCTGGTCTTTGACTTAAGGCCCTGTAAGCCTTTTCATGGCATTCAAGAGCAGCCCAAGGTTTTTGTCTCCATAATTCAACTCTTGCAACAATTCTCCAACATCTGGCAGATTTGGTGATTACAGTAGGTAATATATTGCAAACAAGGTCGATACAAGACTTCTGGTAATAGGTAAATCTTACTTCGTCAGTAGATGGATATTCTGTGGCCACCAATATCTCTACCAACTTTTCTATTACTGGAATATCAATTGAAACTTCACCGTCGGATTTACCTCTGATATTTATTAATTCCCTAGCAGCAATTAATACATCATTCCATTCATTCAATTTTGCTGCGACAATTAAATAATTTTCATAAATTCTCCAAGACTTGTTAGATTCACCGGCACATCTAATTGCTTTCTTCAAGGCATTTAAAGCTGGTCTAGTTTTGTCTGTTCTTAACAAAGCACTAGCAAGATTAGACCAAGCATGAGAATTTGTTTCATCCAAACCTACGCATCTGGTGAAAGCCTCAGCAGCCACTTCATATTGCTGTGCTTCTAAACCACAACACCCATAAAAGAACCAATGCTCGTAGTTCAATGGATTCACTGTCAAACACTCGTTCATATGCTTAATAGCTTGCTCGAGATCCTTAGTGAGCCCTGAACCTTGCGGCGGATTATAGTAATAACGTGATAAAGAAGCTTTAGCTTTCGAATACTTTCCAATTTCCCAAGCCTTTGCCCATAAGCTTGGATCTTGTCTTATATCTCCTAAAATTGAAACAGCTCTTGCGTCTTCCGGATGAGACTTAATTCTTTCCAATATTATCCTTTCCGCTTCTTTCTCATCATCAACGGCTGCATAACATAACGCAGTTTCACAAGATAATTGCAATCTTTCATAAATTTCAACTGCAGATCTAAGAACACCAATAGACATATACTTCTCTGCTAACCTCATATCCATTGCCCATTGTGGCATTAAAGGTAATTGATGTATAAATCTTAATCTAGACGCAGCAGCAGAACCACTATCGTCCACACCTTCTTCCATGGCTTGTGGAATAATCCTGGTTTTGACTTTAATGCCAATTTCTTCTACTAATGATGTCATTTGTAATATACCTCTTTCAATGGTTCTGGAATTATTAGTCTCAAGGATCGACCTTTCCCATAAAGCTCTTGAAAATACACTCCAGTTAACACTTTTCGATGAAGCATAAAGAATTCTTCCGGCTAATGCTAATAGCTCTTCCTCAACTAACGAGTTATTGGATGGCGTTGTCTGTCTAAGAGTGGTTAACCTTAACAATAATTGAACACTATCCAAATCATTCAAAACAGGTTGGTCGTTTGGGTTCAAGAGTCTTAATTCTTCAGGAATGTCATCCTGTCTCATCACAATAGGTAACAATTTTTCCTCGTCATTTTCTTCTGCATTTATAGTAGAAATTTCATCAAATTTAATCCTTTTAGAATCAGGTTCATCTTGAAGTTCAAGGTCATCTAACGACTCGAATTGCGGTTTCTCTAATAACAAATCTGATTCCAAACCAAAAGTCTCTGGATTATCATTTGCATTATCAAATAAACTTGAGGGTTTACTTTTAGCCAAAATGATTAAAGCAGATGTATGAAAAGTTTGGAACTTGGTTCTTTTTGCCTTAGCACCGGATATGACGAAGTTTAATTCTGAAAGCTTGCGGGCCTTTCCCAATAAAGGTATCGAAAGATGTTCAGTGTTACTATGTATCCCACTTCTTGCGCATTCTAAGAAGTATACTAATTGAATATGTTTTCTTAATTCTAAGTTATCGTCCATCGCCGGTGCTAATGCATTAGGAACAGACGGATTTAATAACAATGATGAAACACTTGACAAGACACTTGCTGGTTCTGAAATTAAAGATAAATGAACTTGAAGTGCTCTAGCCCTCCACCACTGAAGCGACGCCTTTACTGGATCTTCTGGGCTTGCATTAGATACATTACCTGTGGCCTCTATGATTTTTTCAAGTGGAGCCAACGTAGATTTATTTACCAAAGATAAGCTGGAATCAACAAGCATCAACTTTTCGAATAATAAGCATGAAATAATAAAGAATAACGGATCTACCATCAAATCGTAGGCTTGTTGACCCTCTATGTTAATCAACTTAATTGCTTCCATTTGCAATAGCTTTTCATCAACACCTGGAAAAAATACTTGTTGTGAGTTAAACTCGATACCAGGCCCTGTGAAGTTTAATTGTATAAATGTTTGCAATAATGCAATAGCAATTAGTTGCAAATGGAGGTTGCTGATGGTTTCTTCTTGAAACTTTAGATTAAAATTATTTATGACTTCACTAAGAAATTCATTCAAAACAATATCTAAGTCATTGCTAGGGAATTTTTCTAAAATCTTTTTCGAACTATCAGTAAATAGCAATGAATGATAATCTTCTTCATGGATTAATTTTGAAGAATCACCTTTGAGTATATAAAGTATGGAATTTGTCACTGGCTTTAAATAAGAGCTTATTTCAGAGGAAACATTAACTTTCTCTGCCGATATAGATAGAACCAATTGAGACAATACAGATCTCAAATATTTCTCTGACGACATATCCATATATCGAGTTATAAGGCTCTACTGTATTGTAGTAAAATGTTGAAAATAGACTTAGTTCGCTAAATTTTTTTCAAATATTCGATGCGACAGTATTACTATGAGAATATGTTGTAACTATAATTTGAGAATATCTAGAATGCAAAACTCTACATAAATATGATATACACAAGTTTTATATAAAATCCAGAGTATTAGGTACTTTGGGAAGAACCAAATAAAGACAAGCGTTTTTTGCCTTCACTGTTGGCACTATCAGATCGTTTGTGTTCACTGGATTTTCTAGACTTTGGCTTCCTTGATAATGAATTTCTTATCGATAGCCTGTTCATTTCAGAACTATTCTCAGGATTCTCATCATCTGATGCAAAATCAATGACTTCTTCTTGGAAGTTGAAGTTTGAAGGATTCTGAGCAGAAGATAGTCTCTTCTTGAACTGATGCTTGGATTCAGGTTGTCTCTTTTCATCCTCAAGCTCGAAACCTGACAAAGATGACTCTGACTTCAATTTATATAAATCCTTGGTTTTAGGCTTAAGAACAGGTGTATTTGAGGAGGAACTAGATGAACCTAATCCAACTTCTAAATCGATCAAATTAGCTTCCGAAGATTGATCGTTTAAAGTACCTCTTTTTTGCATGCTTTTAGGTCTTTCCTTTAAAGACAAAGCATTCAACTTTTCGTGAACAGGAGACACAGATGACTCGTTCTTAATAGACGCCGGGTGTGAATTGGCTATTCCCGAATGAGACGATACCCTCTTTACTGGTATTGCGTTCGTGTTCTTCGTATAATCACCCCATGGATTTGCATTCTTTCTAATATCATTTTGATTAGTGCTAACATCTGCTCTTTGATTTGTATATGTGACATGTTGCTGTGGAGGTTGCTGTGGAGGTTGCTGTGGAGGTTGCTGCGGAGGTTGCTGTGAAGGTTGCTGATATGCAAATGTATAGTTTGTACTCGTTGGTGGCATATTTAAATTACTGCTTACCTGCGTTTGGGGGCTACTACTAAACTGGATCTCCGAGTGTCTGTTACTAATATCTGGGTATTTTCCAGAAAAACTTTCAAATGTGTCAACGTTATTACTTTTTTTAGCTGCGTCGTTAATAAACGCATCACGCTGGTTTTTCTCTGTTTCAGATCTTATATTAGGGCCGTCCAAGGAATTTCTACTTTTACTTTGAATTCCATTTGCTTCATCATTGGTCTTCGCAACATTTTCTTCGTCCACGGCTAATTCCAAGTTATTCTGTGCATGAGCATCAGGGATTTGGTTCAAGTATCTGTCTGAGCCAGTTGAAGGATATTCAGATGATATGCTTTTATTCAAGTTGGACAAAGACTCGATATCACCCTTTGCACTTTGGTTTGTTTTCTGAGATTTCACAGGTACCAAAGCGGGAGATTTGGAATTGGTTGCAAATATATCGTCAACTAATAGCTCTGCATCTTTTTCAATCTTCGAATGATGTCTCTCCCATGCTTCCTTTTTCTCAAACTCGGATGGTTCCTTTGTCTTTCCTGTTGTTATGTTGTGCTCAATATCATTCGGGTTTAAACTGTTACTCTGAGACTTATGTTGCTCGGTTTGTTGATATAATTGCTTTTGGTATTGATCAAGCTGATATTGATAAGCTTGATGCTGATAATGATATTGTTGAAACTGATCTGAGGTCAATTTTTTAAGGTCTGCATTACTTAATATAACTGGCTGTGTAGGAACCTGGGGAACATAGTTCTGAGTAATCTGTTGCCTAGAACTTTCATTAGGTGGATTTGGGGAAGTACTCTCCCTTTGGCTAGCATGGTCTGAATCCATCGACTTACTTCTCTTAGTTGAGTCTTCCAAAAGGTCATCAAGGGAAGGATATCTCTCTTCGACATTATCCAAATTTGCTAGTTCTAATTCACTCGTATTATCATCATCGGTTTCAATATTAGCCTCGTTATTAGGCAGAGTCACGCCGGCTTCCTGCTTGTTTTTCTGAGGCTCCAAATCATGAGATAATGCTGGTGGTATTTCAACCTGTGTTTGATGTTGCAAATCAGCTGAATTTATATTCAATTGGCCATAGACTTGTGATGGAGTTCCTCCTTGAGAACGAACAAACGGAGATTGAGTTTGCAGTCTTATTTGGTTATCATATTGCTTAGCTAAATTAACCTCTGACGTCGCCTTACCACCACTCGAGTATGCATTCTGTTGGTAATATAATTGCTGTTGTTTGAGAAGTTCATTTTGCTTGTGGCGTTGATATTCGTGCAAAGCATGAAAGTTGTATGGTCCGGTATTATATATGTCTTCAAGCTTGAGACTCTTAAATTCTATCTTCATCATTTTGGATAATAACATCAAGACTTGAACAATATTAGGCCTAAAGAGAGGATTTTCCTGAAGCATGATGATAATCAAATTCTTCAAATCACCAGAGAAGACTGGAGCTGGCAAAAACTGGAAAGTTGCATGGAGGATAGCAATATCCCCATTTGCCTCAAAAGGTGTTGTATAATAACATAACTTATATAAAAAGCATCCCAAGGCCCAAATATCTGCTTTTTCGTCAATTGGAAACCCTCTATACAAATCTATCATCTCTGGGGCTCTATATTGCGGCGTAGTCTGATACATTATATCGTGGCTTAATAATTGGAATTGTTGTTGATCTTTTGGTGGCATTATTGGAGACGATGTAGATCCAAAATCACACAACTTAAAATCGTGTTTGGCATCAATAAGAACATTTTCAATCTTAATATCCCTATGAACCAATTTCATCTTATGCATTTCGTATATACCAATTGATATATCCAGCATAATTTTCAAGATTTCTGGTTCAGTAAGTTTGGTCTTGATTTTAGCATTCATATAGTCCAATAATGACTTATTAGGACAAAGTTCCATAAGTACCAATACTTGGTAAGTTCCATTTTCCAATCTTTCTGCATGCGAATCGTAGTATTTCACTATATTTCTGCCATAACGTAAGTTTTTCATAACATCAACTTCTTTTCTTAATTGATTCAATCCATTCTTATCTGGTACTATAACTCTCTTCAAGCAAGCAATATCTGTATCATCTTCCTCAGGATCAATTTTTACTTTGTAGATATGTGCAAATCCTCCCTCTGAAAGATACTTAAGAATTGTTACTTGATGGCCTCCCACCGGAAGCTGCGTTCCTTCGGGAAGTTTCGGAAAATTCCCCATATTACTTCTATTGATATTATTGTTAATTGGAGTCTATAGAAGTAATATGAACGATGATTATGATTATATATATGATACAAGCTTAGCCTGGTTTAAGGTGTACTCTATTTTTGGTGAGTACGCACATTCAACATTTCTACAATCACGTGTACATAATTATCTTATATTCACATTTCATTAGATGCAAATTCTTCGGCAAGCAACTTTTCCATTTCATCGAAGTTGAAGGGGACAAATACCATTTCCACGCCAGCTTCATCTTTCACAGCGCTGCACATCTTGTGTTCAATGAATTCTCCGAGCATAGTCCTGAAACTTATTTCATTAGAAGTAACGAATTCTTCTAAACATGAATTGTAAAGTTGTTTGAATTCTATACCAAGCTTTATGGAACCTTTGAGACCAGTGCGGCCTGCCTTGGTAGTAGTAGCATTTCTCATAATTTCCAACTGTTTGATGAGCAAAATTCTGTAGAGATTTCGAGCATTCTTTGTAAGAGAACTCAAGACGTATTTGGCACCCTTGTTTCCGACGAATTTTTTCGATTTCCCCATACTCAAAACGTCTCTGAATGACATCTCAACCGTGTACGGCTCATACGTTGTTAAATCATGCCATAAAAAGTTAAAACTTTTCAATTTGAACAGGTCCCAAAGCAAAGAAACATTTATGTTGTCGGTAGAGGAAATCAACCATATTTCTGGAATAGAACACAATTGCGAAAGCAAACTTTGGGTTCTTTCGTTAAGAAATGGCTTACCGTCAATATTATGAATAACCAATATTAATTTAGGTTTAATGAATTGTCCCGGACTATGGACACGGCGATCTTCAACGTATTTCATGAGAAAGGGGACCGTTTCTGATATATGTTTGGGAAATTTTACATTATCTTGCTTCTTTTTTTCTTGGGAGATAAACACCGATAAAATGTCGTGGACTACTTTCTTAAATTTAACCGCAGGATTATAACCGTTTACAACTAATATATCTGGATATTCGTCATCTTCTTGCATATTTTGCTCGTACCATTCAACAAGATAATTCTGGACAAAATCCCCAATCAACTTAATTTTTGATCCAACACCATAAAAATTTAAACTAAATCCACAAGTTAATTCAAAACACCATTGATGGTATAAAGATTTGTGGAGAATGTTTAGCTTATTCTTCTCCTTTAGACGTATCAATTTACTCAATTCAACAAACGGTATAAACTCATCGTATTCTAATTGAGGTGCTAATTGTGACAAAGAATTAGCACCTGCTTTTGGTCTACCCATATGCTGTTCAAAATAACCTTCAGTTCCATCTAGGAAGAAAGCCCTTTCGTCGATAAGCCTACCTGAATACTTTTCTTCAACATTGACATTAGGTAGATATTTTTTCATATATTCATCATCTTCAATTTCTCCTTCTTCATTGATGTTAGGTATTGGTAATGGTATGAACTTATTTGAATCTATCGTTGCTACTTCCACTTTTGTATTCCTGTCGTTATTGTTAGCTATACCACTAATAATTGGCACAGAAACTATGCTGCTCTGTGTTACATTCTCAAATCCCATTGAAAAAAAGGAGTCTGAGTCTTTAGTAGTATCGCTCATGTCGACTTTTTCCTTTTTATGTGCAGCTTGTTTATTCTCGGTGAAAAATGTTTCATCGTCCATTTGAAAGATACTTTTTATTTTACCAATTACTTTACTAGCCTTACTTGGTCTCCCGACTTTCCTCTTACTAGGTGATATGGACTCGTCTCCAAGCGTAGCTGCAAATGGACTGGCAGTTTTCTTCCGCCTTTTGGGAGAAACTTCTTTCTCTACTTCATCCTCGTCTGAAATACCATCAATAACATACGATTCTCTTACTCGGTGTTTATTCTTTACTTTTCTTTCTTTCTTTGGGAGCTTGAATTCTTCGTCATCATCATCTTCTAATTCTCCATCATCTTCTATTTCGTCATCTTCATCATCTATTGTTTCATCCTCTTCTATCTTTACTTCCTTCTTAGGCTTTCTTCCCTTGCGCCTAGGCGTCTTTTGAGCTGTTATATCCTCTTCCAATTCTACATCACTACCGTAAGCTCTAAAATACTCATCAATTTCTTCCTGCTTATTATCCCTAGATTCTTTGATAATTGCCTCTGCCAACGATAGCTCCTGTCTGTCGAGATATTCATTATTATTTTCCTCTAAATCATCATCCATCAACTTAGAGTATATACCGCTTGTCAGTATGGCCCTTTTCCTCGCCGACTTATCCAATTCTGCTACAGTTCTCTTTTTAGGCGATGGTAACCCTGCTCGACCATTGGGAGTCTTGACTGGCGAAAATAAAACTAGATCATCGGATACTTTTTCCAATTTTATTATTCCTCTTTTACTGGGTGATTTATTGGGTGAATTTGTCAAATCAAACGGTGATTGACGATGCGAAGGTGTTGCGGAGAAACTAGTATGCTTCTTCGAGGGCGTCAAAAATATGTCGGAATCATTGAATCCCCTTTTCTCTGGTGAACTATTTTCTTCAAAAGTCATATATACATGTACATTTAATCAAACCTGAATTGTTGTGATAAGTTCTTGGACTTGGTTGTCAAATAATGTTGATAGTTCTATGTGAAGTCGACAAGTTATCTCCTGTATATAAAAGAAAAGCATCTCTTCGTTTTTTGATTCATTATTAAACCAAAAGTAAGAAACAAGCTTGTTAGGCTATATCATCATAATCTTCATATCGGAGGCCTAATATGTTGTCTTTTTGTCCGTATTGTGCTAATATGTTAATAATGGCTCAGAAAGATGATGGCTGTAACAGGTTTTTCTGTCTGACATGCCCATATGAATTTAAGATCGACGGATTTCAGATGTATGATCGTAAGAAGTTATCAAGAAAAGAAGTTGATGATGTGTTAGGTGGTGAAGGAGCTTGGGATAATGTTGATCAAACAGTAGCACAGTGTCCTATTGACTCGTGTGGTGGAGACAAGGCTTATTTTTTCCAACTTCAAATCAGATCTGCTGACGAACCTATGACTACTTTCTACAAATGTGTTAAATGTTCCCACCAATGGAGAGAAAACTGAAGATTTCAAGAATCATATGATTCAGACTTTACTCTTGACTTGGCTATTTCATTTTTGATCAAAATTTGTTTTTTGTAAGAGATATGGCCTGGACTTCAGAAAAATCAAACTTCGAAGCATGGCTTCTACACTGTAAAATAGACGATATAATATCCGTAATCAATAATAAATATATTAATTTAATGCTATGCAATTGTAGTATATATGATATATACTATCTATTTATGTGAAACTTTTAGCTTGATTGAGCTGCATATCCACGGATTTTAATTTCAAGCTAAACCAGTTTGCTGGGTCATCATGTAAGTTGTTTGATACACTCTGTACCATTTCAGAGTTCACATTGGCACAAGATTTGAAGTAAATTTTACTGGCACTTAGTTGCCGATTTGCCAATATCACCAGCGAAGGTTTCTTTACCTTTATTGAGACTGAGTGATCGTCTTCAGTTTCAATAATCTTCCTTTTGAAACTTATTTCAAAAGAGCTAAAGGTAGACTCAATGAATGAAATTTTAGATTTGTAAATTTTTTTATCACTGTTCTTATTTATTCGTTTTAAACATGGCCTTCCAAATTTAGTTTGATTATAGGATGTCTTGTGTTTATTGACTCTTATAGGAACTCTCTTGCTTTGTAATTCCCATTCAAACTTCTTTTCTTCAATTGATCGATCCTTAGTAACACCGCTATCAGATTCATCATCTTCAATATCTGTCAATTCATCCCCTTTACCTACTTCTACTGTCAGGTTCCCCTGAATTATTTCATTGGTCTTAATTCCAGATTTCGAAGAAGTATCTTCTTTATTCCGGTGAGAATCATTTTCACTATCATAATAGTCGCTTGCTGATTCATCCAGAATGCTCCCATTCCCATAATTATATCTATCAATACCACCAAGTTTCATCCCTTCATTAAATTGTACATCACTACCGGACTCGTTTCTTAGAACACTTCGCACACCCCCCTCAATGTCATTATGATATCTATAATATAGCATTTGCAGATCTTCTATTATCTTCCTAAACCATGCATCTCCCCTACCTATAATAATTTTTTGTAAATCCATGTCATTGTGTCTTTCCTTGCAAAATTGCTTTTCATCTTCCGTGTATTCGGAAAAATCTAGCTTCGAAATAAATTTTTGACCTTCAAAATTAAAATGATTAGAATTCGGATTTCGAATTTCAAAGGAGTTACCTTTAATTCTCGCTAGATAACGTTTAACTAATCTTACTTCATCGATGCACTGAGAGATTTTCCACCTGTTAATAATTTTAACAGGCCTATTCGATAGTATAGAATTTAAAAATCCATACTCTAGTGATTTGGTCCGGTCATAGGAAAGTAAGGGAATATCACTCTGAGATGTATTATAAACCAAATCGCCAAACAAGCGTGACATTGTCATTCCTCTTAACCAGGTGTTTTCCGATTCAGTACAAGGATAAATATCTCTAAATTTAAATTTAGAAACGAAATTCCTACATTCTGTATACGAAGAATGTCTGGAAAATATTAACTTAATATCAGCAGGCAAGAGTTCATTTCCCTCTTTTCTACAGAGCCATCTCCTTCCACGAAACTCATAAATGATGTTTCCTTTTGCAGTTTTCCCTAAAGTTTTTAATTCCTTGTTAAGTTCAGAAAATGAAAGGCTACTTAGAAGAATTGGACAAAAGACACCTGCAAAATCCAAAATATTAAAATCAATGCATTGCTTTATTTTTATTGGAAATTTAGGAGAATCTTGCTTGCATGAACCTAAATATTTACCGCATGCATGGAACTTCATGTTGCAATTATTTGATTCTGCCTTATTAATCAAATCATTAAGTATGAGACCGTAATGCGGATATAGTTGATTGGAATTAAGCAATTTTATTCTCAGTCTGTTTTCTTCGCTTGTATGTAAAGTACCCTGTAGACAATTTGATATCTGCGCCCAGGCTTCTTCAAATCCAGATGTACTATCAACAAAGTAGAATTGTATATCAGGATCGTCTCTGGGATATGATTTTAGCAACAGGGTAACGATTGAAATACCCTCACTGTTCAGTGGAATTTCTATAAACGGCTCTCCTCTGTAAATAAAGGTGGTGTCCAAATAGATGTTATCTAAAACTTTTAATCCAGAAGTATAAGGGAAAAGACTCGGGTCTTTGAAAAGCGATTCTACCCACCAATGCTCAGCTCTTATATCCCCAGTATAAAGTACATTCTTATCGGCGCCTTCAATAAGGAACATAGCAGCACCAGGACAATGATAAGCAGGTATTAAAGTTAAATTTAGATCTTCACCGTTCAATGTAAGTGTGAAAGGAACATTCATTTCAAGGGTTATCATAAAAGGTAACACATGTCGGAAAGATGGATCCAATGTTAACAATTTTTTGGTTGTCTCAGAACAGTACAATCTGCTATCAAATGACTTGTTACTTAGACCGCATAAGTGGTCACTATGACAATGCGTGAGAAGATATACCTTGGCTTTAGTATTAAACCTATCAACTCCAAGTCCTGGAAATTCTGTTATTAAACCATTAAATGTATTACCCGTGTTTGATACAGGTCTTATTCCCATCAGTAACAATAACCCCTAATATACTGGAATTAAGTAAACGTCTCATATAATATGATCTTGAATCAGAAATAGGCCAAATTACGAAGTAAATCTCCTAAGGATTAACATGAACGCGAATTTATTTTATCTACTTTATCGAGCTTTTTGAGTACCACCATTAGCATAACTGTTTTAGGTGATTACGTTTCGGAAATTCCGCTTGTAAGGTTTTATGGATTATAGTCAATTCTGCTTGAGGCATGTCTATATATCTGCCGCTTTTATTAATATAGGCATCTTCTGTACTTGATATGACGTGCTAGATCTGCAGTAAGAAGGGCTGGAACCTTAATCTTGTTAACCAGATACTACGAACAGTAAGAATTTTTTAGAGCTCTACTTGATGAGGGTGGTCGTTACCTACATTGACTAAAGGTGGACCATCAAATTATACTCCATGTATATGGCTGGATTTTACGAAAATGATCGACTTATCGTGAGTGTCAACAGGGCCCCGTTTTTAGCTAAGATGGTTGTATGCGCTGATGAATGATATCAGCCATTGATTAGATACAGTTCGATATAAGTTGGTGACATTGTACTAGTCATGGTTGAGTGTACCGAGAGATATCATGCTGGTATCTACATTTTGCAGCCGATTCAAACCAATTTCAGTCTTCATTTTAAAGAATGGGGGACATTAAGGAAATTAAGGTTTAAAGTGTAGGTCGTTAATTTATATAATAGTAGAGGTGTTTATATTTTCTGATTGGAATAGGTAGTTGTAGATGAAGGTATTGATGTCCAAATATTACTGACATGCAGAAAACCCAAATATGACTTGAGTATCAACAATCATTCTTATGATTTGTAATCCCATATAAATGCTAGTTAAAACTATTTTTGCTGTGTTCCAGCGAATAACAGAAGAGCCCTAGATGACTCAAGACTAAACAATAGAAATTATGTACATGGTAGAAAATACGTTTCATCCGTTTAGAGATCTGCTGCGAGGTATCGACGCTGAGCTTGAATATTAATGTAGAAACCCCCTCAATTGTGAATACATTTTTATTCAGACTGCTAGACATCAAGATAGCCAAACTTGATAATATTTAGGAAAGCCCCGTGTTAAAGTGTTCAACTGCTAGACATATGCAGACTCTGTCTCGTGTTTCGTATTGTTGAATGCCTGAGTCTTCTTTAGTAGGATAAAACCATTAGCTATGCTTATCGAAGGTTAGAAATCCTTCCAGTTTTCATTCGAGACAGCGACCTAGAATATTCTCATAAGAAGGTATTTGACATATTTAAGATATAGCAAAATATTAATTCGTGATTTAAAGGCAATTTTACAGCTCAAAGTAAACAAGTACATTCAAACTATGTACTCAAAAAAGTTATTCAATACGTGAAAACACAAGTTCGTCGTTCCATTCAGTGCTGGTAATAAACATTATGAAATGAATAAAGCAACAATACTTGGAATAATCAGGATCGGTTTTTGGGTAGTCAATAATTGCAGATGTATTTTAGGATTAAAGAAAAATTCACATAGAAATTTACTAGAAAGTATTTTTTTCAAGAATCTTTTTGCAGTAACCAAGTGAAATTATCTAGATATCTTTAAACTATCCACCTAATTCTTTGTTGTATGCCCATCATCACCAAAACATAGACGAGAAAATGGATTGCATATCATTAAAGCTTTGTAGCTTATCTCTGTACTCATATTTGGGGAATCTTGGTTCTCATGTTCGAGAAAATACTTTTTCTAAAACTTCCGAAATAGATTTGGCATACAGTATTGGAATTTTAGGCTACCACTTCATCCGAAACAACTGTCATAGGGATGTCTCATATTTGGAATCTTTGAATGGCTTCTTTGTTTGGTCGTAAATTCTTCTTCTGGGTCCTGCAGTGAATAACGTGATTATTCAATATCTTAAACTTTACAATTAATAGGACTAAATTAAATCAAAATACCATAATATTCGGCTCTTTTATATTTTAGGGCTAACTGTTTCCATTGAACAATAAGCCTATCAGCAATAGGCAATATTAAGATACCACTCAAGCTCAACTGTTCAACTCTCGCTAAACTCTCAATATAAATGATCTTAGTCTTGCAAAACCCTAAGAATTTTAATAGAAATATGATATATGCTAGTGGAACAGATGTTCCTGGTCCATTTAATAAAAGAATAGATGGAAATCGAGTTAAATCATATAGGCTCTTGATTGTAGAAATAAATGATCTTGTTGTACTGAAAATTGACAGGATTATAGATTCCCCGACAGATCTCGCCCTATGTAATATAAGGTATTCCAGTTTATATTTACTATCTCTAAGCCTGTCATCTTCATATTTCTTACATTTTAAGATTGAAGTTGTATCACCAGATGATGTAACCCATGTACGATTGAAATTATTCAAGTCAACATTAGTCAAAATACGCATCATTTCGCCCGTGTGGCCACCTGAGCCCAAGAAAACCATTATATTAGACCCTTTCAACTCTGAAGGTATTTGACTCAATCCTTTTTCCTTCTGAGACTCAATGGTTGGTGAGCTGACCGCAGGCAAAACCCAAAGTAGACGAATTCCAATTACAAATAATGGTAATAATAAAAGTGCCACCTTAATACATAGTTGTGATTCGAAGTCCATGTTACACTTAATTCGTTCTAATGCCAGAGTACTAAAAAAATCTAAATGTAAATAGTTCTTCAAATTTATAGCTGTATATGCGTCGCGCGAATTTATTGATAGTTGTAAGACATATTATATACCTAGCTACTATAGCTCAAAATCTGGTCGGGAAGCCTTGTAAGCTTGACTGGATTCATTATTGCTTGAATTTTCAATTAAGTCAATAGGTCTTTTATTATTTTTCACCTTCTTATTAATTTTTTGGTCCTCAAATAACTTATCCTTTTCCGCTAATTGTTTCATTACTTTGGTTACAACTAAACTTAATTTATGACACTCCTCATTTGTTGCACCTAGCGGCTTTGGTTTTGCCCAACTTACTCTAACAGGGTATTTATTATCTAATACGAGCAATCCCGGTGTACCAGTGTTCTTATTTAGTCCATTATCAAGTATTGCAGTAGCAAAGCTTTCAGCTGCTTTCCTGGTTGTAAACGTTACGTAACCACATTTTGCACGATGAACAATTGTCAATGATTTTATCTTACCGAATTTGTTGCAGAAGTCTGATATTACATATTGAGGAATATCATCACTGAATCCAAAAAGAAAAAATGATGTAAGCTCTGCCATGGTTTCTGGAATCAAAAACAGACCTCCTAGAGGTAACTTGGATAGTATTTTGGATATATCAGTACTCTTTATATTGACTAGGTCGCTCTTTTTTGTTATCTTGGAACTCTTTGGAGCCTTCTTGACCAAAGTATTCGTATTCCCATTCAATTTCTCTGCAAGCTTCAGAAGTATGTCACGAGCCAATTCACCGGGGTCCTTTGACTTATTTACATTTTTATCTTCGCTGTTATACTTGGCCTCCTGTTTATCAGCCATAATGGCTTTTACTTCTCGATTGCGAGAAGTATTAGACGATTTTATTCCCAGGGCATGTTCAAGCCCAGCCATCTTTAATGCAGTATCTCTTATTTCTAACGGTATGCCATACGTTATATCCAACATACATGATTGACAACAATTCCTTGCTCTTGCGCATGTCATACATATAATCGTCTTTTTAGATTTGTTAGTTCCATTATTAGGGTTCCACCGAAATACAGTGAACGGCCTGGTGCACACTTTACACTCTTCTCCGTTTGCCTGTCTCATCATCTTTATGTGTCTATCTGGGCCACAGCAGTTATCACATATTGCAGGAAACTCGTCACTCATACTGTGCTTAATATTTTATAGAAAGTATCTGATTTAGGCGGTAACTAATTACAAATCATAGTAGATGGTGCAGCTAGTTTTGTTTCTGATAATGATGCTTCTATGGTCACGTGTTTGTATTTTAGAGATGGGATTACTATTCATCTACTACAAGATACAGCAGCTTAGCGTAGAGGAGCATACGTTCTATTACGTGATTCAGAAAGGAGTCCGTCGACCGCTTGCAAATTAAATTCTACAGTAAATTAATTAGGGAGTTTGGTTTATTGTTTCTATGAACACCTAGATAAGTTTTCACTGGTTATTGTTAGTATGCGATATTATATTTAAAGCATTGCAAGATGGATATTCCTATTAAGATTAAGATTCAGTGTTAAAAAGCTCTGATATTATTTTTATTCCACATGGTGATTCAGGTGAAGAAATTCATTGTTGTATTAATAATTCATCAGTAAATTAATCTTAAAAGTAGTCCCATTCAATTAGAATGAAGCTTAGACTTACCTTAAACAATATATTCATATTTCTTTGTTAATAAAGTAATTATTAAAGAAATATGAAAATAAACCTGTGAAGGATTTCAAGAAGGTTTTATTCATGGAATTTTTGTTGATGAATTTTTCAGCTGTTACCCGCAGCTATAAATTTTTGTTTACACTACCTTTCTAATAGGGTTATAATTTTGCAGTCTAACTATGTACAAATAAAGAAGTCTGAAGTATGCTTGATCATAAAATGAACTTGGAACTTGTCAAAGAGATTCAAAACTAATTCAAGCCTTTCTTTAAGGTCAGTATCATCGGTTAATATAATAACAGATTTCATATTTGATACGGCTTCTAAAATGCTTGTAAATATGAATTCGTCTTTACACCATCCAATATAACCATCATGGCCCTTCCTGGTGACAAATTCAATTATGTAGTCCAAATCCTCATTGACTTTTTTGGTTAATTGATAGATCGATCCATTATCTAAGGGCTTTTTCAGATTACATGCTATGAGCATATAAGCTGCCGTTTGGTGTGTTTGAATATCATTCCTATATAAGTTCAAACTTTCAACATCAAATAACGAATCTTCAGTTTGTGCATCAGCCTGGGATAATTTCCATCTTAGTTGCGGCTTGGAATTAATAAAATGGTCAATCAAAATGGGTTCGCTAATATTGGCTCCAAATTTGGCCAAGAAGTTAAATCCGAATACAGAAGTTATTGCCATTGGTACCTTGGTGAAATCAAAGCCGAAGAAATGCGATAAGTATTTAGCAGATTCATATCGAATGTCAACATCATCATCGTATAATGCCAAATAAAGCATAAAGACACCTTGAGCAACATAGCGGCCATATTCTTTCTTCTTAACAGCAGTTGTCACAAATGCAATAATAGCGTGCACTGAAGATAACCTAACAACAGCAGGTCTTTCATCTACAGCAAACTCATTTGCCAAATCCAAAAATCTTTGCACATTGGCAATATCATTGAAATTAGCGCAGTTTGAAATTTGACCTATCAAAGGTCCCAACGCCTCTAATGCTTTAGAATTAGAATCCTCGCTGTATTCTTTCAGGGTGAATGAAAGTAATATTTCAATTTTGGAACGCAAGTCGGCTTTATCTAATTCTTCTCCTCTGGATGTAACGATTCTAATCAACTCTAAAGCGTTAGCTCTAACAAAACTCCAACACGAGTCGTCCTTAACTAAACCCCATAACTCTTCAAGAATCGCTATGTAATAATTTTTACGATCCATTTCAATAATATGGTTTATATGGGAATCGCAAAATCGAATTGCTGTCAATTGAACTTCGTAAACATTCTTAGAGAGCAAGCAAATTCTAATTAAATCGATCATGTCTTCAGTTCTCCCGATTTTCAAATACTGGGATAATAAGAGCTCGATCATTGATGAAAGAAGTAATTGTCTCGCCCCATTGAGAGTGGTATCGAAAATATCAGTAGTCAAATTCCGTATTATAAAATTTCCTATGATATTTAAAAACATGTCCTCAAGTTCAATTTCAAAATTATTCTTCAATATGCAATTTACAATTTCTATGAAGCATTTAGCTGTTGACCATGAAAACATCTCATTTTCCGTAAGAAACGATAGTGTGTAGTCAAGTATGTGGTTGGCTTCCACTTCTTTCAACTTATAATCTGGTAACTTTGATTCAATTCTCTTGATAATTTCTAAAATGGATAATAAATTCCCATGAATGGAATTAAAATCTCCGCGTAGTTCATGGCAATTTTTAAGCAAAATACGTATTGTTGGTATAAGATTATTAGGCAAAATAATGGCCGCTAATGATTTTGCAGCCATTTCACGCACCTTCCAATATTTGTGATGCAGACATTTAATTAATAATGTCTCAAATCTTTGCAATTTGGGGTCGATAGTGGATGTATTTTCTAATCTAGATAGAATGGTTAATATCGGAAAAATCACATTAAATTTGGTATCTTGATCAATTGTGGATGACGAGTCGACTAAGTTTTGAAACAAAATATCTTCAATGCCGTTGTATTTAGCAAAGAATAATCTTGAAGATATGCATGGTAGAAGTTCACCTAATTTAGATGTGCCAAATAAACGGTTCTGTAATGCAGTAAATAACATTACTGCGCAATTTCTAATTGCCCATGTAGGGTTATAGAAATTTGTCAACGATAGCGTTAAAACTTGGTTGACATAGGGAGTACAAAGTGATGAAAGTTGTGAATCGATAAATATATGCTTCATACAATTGAAAGAATGAACTTGAGGAATATCCATTTTTTCATCTGCATTTTGTATATATTCCTCCTTGGCAATACTTATCAATTCTTGAAAAGTGTAATCAATAAGATCTTTGTGTTCTTTTGCCTTATTACAAGACTTTTCAGCTGTCAAAATAGCCGTGATAAGATAGGGCAACCCTCCAGATCTTCTACTAATATATTGAGTTTTGGATTTGATTAATTTAATATTCTGCTTAAGCCAAATGTTTGGTTTACTTGCGAGTTCTTCTTCGTCGCTTTTGAAACATATCTCACAAGCAGAAACAAACGACGGATAAACTGAGGAAAAAGCTCCACGGTGCTTAACTGATGCCAACTGATCCATTATTAAATCTGCACCTAAGAGAAAGGTAGTCTTATCAACAAGGGATTTATTGTCCAGATCACCTATCTCTAAAATAGCGCTGAGTAACGCTGTGGATTCCTTAATTACTTTCCAACTGTAATTTACAACAATCTTGTCGTCAAACTCATTACTTTCATTATCTTCGGCTGCATTAGATAACAAAGGTTTCACTTGAACCCAAACTTTCGAAATTTGGCCAAAAACATGTAAGAATAGCTTCTTCCAGTACTCTGTTTCAACACTGAATCTCTCTTTATTGATGTTCTTCAAAATTAATTTTAAGGCTGTAAATATCCCATGAACTCTTTGTTCTCTATGGAGTTTCTCATTGTCAAATTCGTAGGTTAGACCAAAATCTAATTTGTGTACAATAGTATCGATTAAGTCCTTCAAGCTCCGAGTGTCATTTAAGTGATCATATGATTGTGCTAAAAATTGCAAAACCTTTGCACCACCTTCGCTCTTCTTACCCTTCAATTCGGTAATAATATTTAACGCTTTATCATTAATATCCTGCTCTGCAGCTAGTATGGTTTCGGATAAAACATTCTCTGAGCAGCCTAGCAAGAGATTGACACTATTTTCCCGTATATCTTCGTAATTGTTAGTAATATTATCAACTATCAACCTTAATAATGGATAATCAAATATTTCAATAGAAAATGGAAATACCATTTTATTATTGCTTATTTTTGTTTTAGTCTTCACAGATAATTTATCATACGCTTCAGTTCTCGGTACATTATCTAAGTTCAAATCTACTAAAATCTGTAACAGCTTCATACTCAAGTATAATTGGCCATAGGATGATCCTGGTATGAAATTTCTTTTCAAAAAGTTGAGGAACCAGGTTAAAAAGTCATGTCCTTGCGAAATTAATTGCTGCAACTCATTCTGCTTAAGCAAATCATAATTCTTCTTACGTATCCTATCGAGATATCGTGATAAAGAGTACAAAGAATCTCTGAGACGAATTAAAAACTGTCTTAATAATGAAGCAAAATCGTTTCTAAACTCAATACTATCACAGTCTTGGAAAAATAATTGCAAAATATTTTCATTCACTAATACGTCATAAACTGGCTTCTGTATGGCCTGGGAACCTTTGGCTGATCCAACTAATAATGCGAAAGAGTTGATTCTAAATTTAGATTCCTCGTGGGTTAAAAGTCTAGTGATATAATCAAATGGTACCATCGTGTTCTGTTCATCAAAAATTTCCGCCATTAAAGCTAAGTCCTGGCCTACTTTCAACAATCCAAGGCACATACTTATTTCAGAATTGGATAAGTCATTTATTTGGAAAGATAAATTCCTTTCTATGAATATGTGATATGACTTGGGTGAAATTTTGAACAAGAGTGGCAATAAATATACCTGAATATTACGACTCAAGTCTTCATCGTTTAGTCCCCTCATTATCAACTCCTGCCATCTGCTCATCCATTCTTCGTCTGCTCCTTTTTTATATAATCTTTGGTAAATCGACACAAATGCCTTGCTTGCTGCATTGGCCAACGGATTTGACCACATTATCCCGATGCATCTTTCAGTAAACTTTTCGTGCTCTGTCAATATATATTTCGTATCTATCTCTTTGGATAAGATCTCTATTAAGAAGTAAAGATTCCTAGATGTATATGGCAACTTCATTCCCTGATCTACCCATTGCTGGAATAATTCCACATGTAACGGCATCAAAACTTTACAGAACCCTATTAGCCTATGCAATAATGATACCAAAGAATTTACAAGTGGCCCTGTACCACTTTCTAAAAAATCCATAATGTACTCAAATATTCTGGTGCTAGTATCTTTAGTTAGCACCTCATGCAATTGGTCCGCATGTTGCATTCGCATCACTTTGATGCTTCTCAACATCCAAATACATAATGTATCACTACATAACACCCTTGCACTATCCACAGAGTCTGCATTTATCAATGTCGAATACAAATATGGGAATATTTGTTTCAATTCTTCTGGTCGTACTTCCTTATTTGCAATAAGATATTGCTCGATGGCTTTCACCTCAACCTCACTCAAATTTTTTTGCGTATCATTCTCGAATTCTCCCTGCTCCTTCAGGCTAACGAGATCTAAAATTTTGGACATAACCTGATCTAACTCTCGGCCGTTCCAATAATCCACTTATATGAGGTGTGTCTGTATTGAGTCTGTAGCGATGATCTTCTCAGTTAGCTAATACTGAAAAATTCGCTCGCGTCGTGCATCTATCCATATCCACTGGCATTATCCTTTACTCAACTAACATACACGTTCGAGAGTCAGCAATATCATCCACCACAATAAAATAGTTATAATCCAAGGTAGCAAAGCCCAGTAGTATTACTATTGTTCAAACAACTACTAGAAATTAGATCAAATTATAAATAATTTTATCAAAAAGTTTTATATATACCAAAACTAAAGCATGGCTTATTCTCCAGCAAAATTATTCGATATCTACTGGTATTCGTTCCCATATGTCATGTTGACAAAGCCTGAACGCATGTGCTTGCGTATGTATTTTGATAATTAGAACAATTTAGTGGTCTTGAGTCATATCTACGAGACGTTACTAACAACTTAGACTTTTTCTTCCTTTCGTTTGCATTGTTTATTGGTTACGGAATTGTTTTTTACATTCCCTCTAATACTATGTTCCTCTTGGCCAGAGGATACTACTATCTTTCTGGTACTGATACGGTTCAAAACTTGAATGTCCAATCTATTTAAAACTATAGATAAAATGGTCCACAGTCAAAAGCCAATTGAACTTTCATGGTGGTCGCATATTCGGTTCTTTTATGGGACGAGTAGAAAAAGGCTAATTTATAGCAACATCTACAGTACCGTGTCGAAGAGTATGGTTATCCAGCCTGTTTAGTTTGTGTATATTACAGCATCTTATTTGCACTTTAATCAACAATATATTGTAATAAGCTGTAAAGACTCCAGAAATATGCATATCGCGTCGCATCGAATTATATAAAATAGGCGGCCTGATCTATGTTTTGAATTAAAAACTAAACAAACCTGAATGTATAAATCAGGTCTAAGAGCTGCATTCAAGCCTCCACGGCGCATAGATCTGTCTCAAACATCATCAGATGCGAAATCAAGTTCTCCTGCCCCAATTAGTCAAAATGCTAATGCTGAAGTGTTAAAAGATAAAGTAGGCACATATCGCCCAGCATCCACCGAGCTGAGTCGCCAGGCATTCAAAAGACCTAAGGTCAATTTAAATCCTCTGGAAGCTGATAATTCGTTCACTCCCTCAAATACAGACTCGAAAGATGAAAAACTGGTAAAAATGTATATGGTCCAATGGAGAAAATTCACTAACAAAAAGAATAAAACGTGGGATGGAGACGGTTTAATTGTTGTCAGTGATTCGGGCATTACTTTCAAATGCGATGTCAAAGGCAATGGGAACTATAAGCAAATGGGTAAGACTTCAAAAACCAAAACAGACGGCATAATCACGGTGGGATCCTATGAACTAGAAATAGATTACGAGATTACAGACAAAGATAAGGCTGATTTAAAGAATTCTCAGGACGTGGGACAAGAGAATAAAGTTCCCCTGCATCATATACCAGCACCACCTCGAAATCAATTTAAAAAAGTAGTACCGCTAGGAATTTCAAATGCACTGAGTACTGCTAGGGTATCAACGACCAATAGAACCCTGCTTCATGATCCGAAGGCAGAGAACTCTCTTACTATGACAAGACCACCCAACAGAAAGCCTGAGGATATCATCGATGTAGTTGTGGACCCTGTTCTTTCAAGATTGTTAAGACCCCATCAACGTGAAGCAGTTATATTCTTATATGAGTGCTTAATGGGATTCAAAAACTTTAAAGGAAATGGTGCATTACTTGCTGACGAAATGGGCTTAGGAAAAACACTCACTACTATTACACTTATATAGACCCTATTAAAACAGACTCCATATTCTGAAGATACATCTCCAATTTGTAAAAAGGTGTTAATCACTTGTCCTGTCACATTAATTGGTAACTGGAAAAAGGAATTCAAAAAATGGTTAAACATCAATAGGATAGGTGTCCTCACGGTTAACAATAAACAAAATGCTAGCAAAGATAAACAGGAAATTAAAAGTTTCGGTAAAACTAGAATATATCAAGTCTTGATAATGAGTTACGAAAAGGTCTTATCTTGTCAGAATGAGTTATCAACTATTCATTTTGATATGCTAGTCTGTGATGAGGGTCATAGGCTTAAAAATAGCTCAAATAAGGTTTTAAAAGTCCTTAATGATTTGAAAATATCTAAAAAGGTTTTGCTCACTGGAACTCCAATACAAAATGATTTAGTCGAATTTTATAACATCATAAATTTCATCAATCCCTCGGCATTGGGTTCATTTCAGTCTTTCCAGAAAGATTTCATTAAACCAATCCTCAGATCAAGGGAAGTAAATTGTATTAATAGAGATACAATAAAACGAGGAGAACTCAAATCTAGTGAATTAATAGAACTAACTAAAGAATTCACTTTACGTCGTACTAGTAGTATTCTTTCAGGTTACTTGACTCAAAAGACTGATATCATTTTATTTTGTCCACCTACTGAACTTCAGATAATGTTGTTCAAGTTCGTATTGAGTTCTAAAAAATTTAATACATTGCTAAGAGAGGATAACTTTAATAACTCTTTAACGTTGATAACTTTATTCAAGAAAATCTGTAACTCTCCAAGTCTATTGTTTCAGGATAAACTTTTCAACTCGCTAATAGAGAATGAAGAAAGTTCCATTGACTTGACCGCTTTGTCTAAAAAGACCGCAAGTAGCAAAGTAAACATCTTAATACCCTTATTAATTGAGATTAATGAAGTAGGCGACAAAACGGTACTTATATCTAATTATACACAAACGTTAGATTTGCTTGAAACTGTTTTACAAAAGCTAAACATATCATTTCTGAGATTAGATGGTTCAACTCCAAATAATTTAAGAGACAAATTAGTGAACGATTTCAATAAGCAGCATGTACTGAAAAATTCAGTCTTCTTATTGTCGGCAAAATCGGGGGGAGTAGGGTTGAATTTAATCGGAGCGTCGAGGCTAATACTTTTTGATAATGATTGGAATCCCTCAATTGATTTACAGGCGATGGCACGAATCCACCGAGATGGACAAACGAAGCCTGTGTTTATTTATAGGATTATGACTACGGGTTGTATTGATGAAAAAATCTTTCAACGTCAATTGATGAAAAATAACCTAAGCGATAAATTTTTGGATAACAAAACTGATTCAAAGCTGAACTTATTTGATATGAATGATTTAAAGGATTTATTCACGGTTAATGAGAAGACATTGTCTAATACCCATGATTTATTACAATGTGACTGCTCTGGTAAAGGAGAAGATATCAGTTCAATCAGTATTGATTCAGATGATACTAACGAAGAATCTGACACTCCTAGAGGTTGGATTACAGCTTTAGATTATAAGCAAGAGGATCAAAAGCCGAAGAAACAGCAAGTTAGCATGATCAACGCATTGATTGAATATAAGCATTACAACCCCAATAATATTTCGGAGGGCCTAGATTGTGGTGACTCGGTGACAAAAAATATAATTCAAAAGTCAAAAGAAAGATCAATACCAATACCCATTACGTATATGCTTACTAAAGTAACAAATTGCACATCAGTATAGAAATCTATAGAAGTATAGAACCTAAATTTATTTTCCTTGCATCTTTTTCATTCTGGCCTCAGCTGCTCTTGCTCTTTGTTCTCGCATAATTCTCATTTTCTGTTGCTCAGAAAGACCACTGGTCTCAGTCAAGGTGCTAGGCATCTTAGAACTGCCTAGAGCTCCACCTGATGAGAAGGTTGGCTTCTTCATTTCCATTTCTGTGCGTTTTGCTAACTCTTCCTCTATCGCTTTTTTTTTACCTTCATCTATCTTCCTTTGTTCTTCTTTTTGTTCTCTTTCTACTTCCTCTCTGGATTTGGGATTACCTACTTTCGATAATTGCCAATCGCAATAATCCTCGCCTAAAGAATATCTTGCGATCTGAAATGCTCGTCTAGTTGCCATATTTCCTGCAAGTTCAAAGGGTGTTTTACCAAATTTGTTAGAAATAGTTGGATCTGTTTTTAGGTTAACCATTAACACTTGCACCATATGCGATAAACCTTGAGAGGATGCGAAATGCAATAAAGTTGGGTAATGAATAAATTGTTCCTCAGGTGATAGTTCATGATTAGGGGATAAATTATTTTTACGAATATAGTTCACTAACATTGGAGCCTTGGATTTCTTCAAAAAACCTATCAACTCATTGGAATGTTTATCATTTTCACTAAGATTGATTTCAGGTTTCTTCGAATGTTGCTGCTGAGAATTTTTCAAGTTATCCCTTAGCTTCTGTAACCTTTTTTTCAATTTTTCATTCGACTTTGGCATGTCATGGATAGTCAAGTACGATAAGTTTGACCATGCTTTCTTTAGTTCTGACGTGGTTGCTCTTTTCGTGGTAAATGGAAAACTCCTTATCCTATCATCACCGTTGTGTAAAACACAGCCATCATAGCCGACAAGAATTCTTCTATTTGAAGAGCCATTTGCTCTTATATAAATATTTGTACAATCATCAATATGGCTTTTCCATGACGCCAACAATTCTCTTACCTCTCGTATAAGTGCCTGCTCATTATACCTACGGATGCTTGAACCAGCAGAATTTGCCTTACCTCTAGCATTATCACTTGCGCTTTGAGATCCACCTTGCTTTTTCCTTGTAGTATATCTATGGAAAGTCTTTGATTCTATTATATTCGTTAGTTGCTCTTGCTTCGACTCTTTAAAATTAGGAGCATTACCTTTAATGTTCTTAGGTATATGAGAAATAATAGCACCTGCGAAATGACCACCACCAATCATGAAAAGTGCAGATTTCTTAGTTTTTATGGGTGGATTTGAAAATGAACGAATTGTCTCTATTGGATTTTCTAGTAATTGCTCTTCCGTGAAAACAGATTTATATACACCAAAGACCTTCTCTTCTGGAATCAAATTAGATTTAAAATAAATAAACGGAGAATTAGTATTTAAATGACTAATTGTTCCTTCTTCGTCGTCATCTTTCAGTTCATTCTTGTCAATTGAAACCTTATCAAATTTTTCAATTATTGTGTCCAACTTGGTAGAAGGCGCTAACTCATCCTCGGATTCACTTTCGTCGCTCTCATCCGAACCAGATAAACTTTCTATTGATTCTTCTTCAATGAGTTTGTCAAATTCTGATTCTGTCAATGGTGGCAAATTACTGATTGACCTTTTCAAATTCAATCTGTGATAATCCGATCTATAATGATCTCTCTTCTCATTTTGTGATGACTTCAAATCAAACTGAACCTTACAAACAGAACACGAGTTACTATTCTGTATACTTTTATATTCCTTGTTGTCTGAAGCGATTTCTGTTACTTGCTTCGGTGGAGGTGATGCACTCCGTGACGGAACCACAGTCGTTGAAGAATCAAAATATATCAATTCTAATGACTCAAGAACTTTTTCTGGTAAGTCATACAAGTACAAATCATTGACGCCTATATCAATGTTATTTCCTTTACCCATATTATAATTCAAGTACTCCCTTAGGTCAATTTTAAGATTCAAAAGAAAAACTTGAAATTCTGATTTTTTTCGCATCAATAGAAGAGTCACACCATGATAGACTCTAACCACGTCATATTTATATTAACAATCTAAAAAAATAAACAATATTTATACAGTCAAGACATAAGAACGTTTTAAAAGTCTATATATTTGAGACGAAAGATTATCTACCTATTGCAGACCAAATCTATGGCATTCCTTTAAAAAATGCTCAACCTTTTCAGGTTTCATAAATGGATGAGTACCATGACCAAAGTTTATAATGTAATTTTGTTTTCCACCACCAAAACCTTTGATCATTTGCTCAACCTTTTTAGAAATAACTTCATCGGAACCATACATGGTACCAGGATCTAAGTTACCTTGCAAGGTGATTCTTCTTCCGTTGACCGCTTTAACGGCATCTTCGGGCTTGTACAACCAATCTAAAGAAACAGTATCATAACCAGATTCACAAAGAGCATCCAAAGCATACCAAGCACCTTTTGCAAAAACAGTAAGAGGGATCTTTTCGGTAATTCCCAACTCTTGTAATCTCTTAGGTAATTTTTCACTGATTTGACGCAAGTACGGTAAAGAAAATTCATCAAACTCGTTAGGTCCTAACTCACTAGCCCACGATTCAAAAACTTGCAACATTTGTGCTCCTGCAACTACTTGCTGAGCCAAAAATTCAACACATACATCAGTTATAGCCTGTAACAATTTGTGAGACTCTTCGGTATGTTCATATATCCACTCCTTAGCAAACCTGAACATTTTTGACCCTTGGCCCTCGGTCATATAAACCAACAAAGTCCATGGTGCACCACAAAATCCTAACAAAGGAACACGGCCATTCAACTTGGTTCTTGTAAGAGTGATTGCTTTGAAGGCCCAATCCAATCCGCTCAAAACATCAGGTTTAAAATTAACTCTTGACAAATCCTTTGGCGATCTCAAAGGATCCACAAATACAGGTCCTTTACCTTCAACCATCTCAATCTCAAATCCCATAACTTGGGGAATAACCAAAATATCACTAAAAATAATAGCGGCGTCAATTAATCCATTGAAATGTTCAATTGGTTGAATGGTAATTTCTGCTGCTATTTCTGCATCTCTACATGTTTCAAAAAAATCACGCTTTCCTTTGACTTCATGATACTCTGGCAAATAACGACCTGCTTGTCTCTAGTTCTGTTAGTAGCTGAAATTCAACGTCCATTAATTGGTGGTACTTACCATAATCCAGATTGGTGGTCTCTCCACCTTTTCTCCTCTAGCGGCTCTAAGAATCAAATCATTCTTCAATGGAGCAAATTCCGGCATCTTGTATGTCTTATGGTCCTATCTAAGTGTTTTCCTCCAATTGCTATAGAAGAGCCTACGAGTTATATTTTAGAATTCCAAGAGAGTGCGCACCTGACGATATTTATTCCCCATCCTCATCCCGTAAACAGGCCATGTTTATACCAACAAATATAATCAGAAAACAAACATACTTCATTCTAATTATCTTATAAATGGCAGAAAACGAAGCAGGGACTGTAAACGCAAACGGTCCATCACATAGATTTTCTGAGTCTTCTACTGTTTCAGGAAATAGAAGTCGTGAACAGAGTAGGCAGATAACATCGCACCGGCCATCGAAACCAAATGTCTTCGTAAGATTTATTAGAGCAGTATTTGGGTATCGGAAGACTTCAGTTACGTTATTTGTATTCTTAACTATCATATCCACGTTGGTTTTGGTGGAATTGAGTAATAGTCTTGATTTTTCGGTTAGATTACCTACGGACAAGTTGGAAAGTACCATTTTAAATAACTCATGGTTAGACTTACAGAGAATCGGTAGAGGAGAGCATCCATATAGCTCCAAAGGAAATGATTATGTTCATGATTATCTCGAAGCAAGAATTACGGAATTGGTAGAAAAAAAGAGCAAATTTATCGAATATGATAATGATATGAACTACACCAATAATATCATATTTAAGAATGAAAATAACTTTTATAACCAAGTGACTTACTATGAAAGTAACAATTTGTTGGTGAGAATAAATGGTAGTGATAATAGCTTGCAAGCGTTGTTAGTTAGTGCACATTATGATTCAGTTCCTTCCAGCTTCGGTATAACGGACGATGGCATGGGCATTGCATCCTTATTGGGAATACTAGATTATTACAGCTCAGAAGGCATTGATCAACCTGTGCGTACTATTGTCTTGAACTTTAACAACAATGAAGAATTTGGCTTAATGGGTGCTACTTCTTTCTTACATCATCCATGGTTTAAGCAAGTCAAATACTTTTTGAATCTTGAAGGTACAGGGGCTGGCGGTAAAGCAGCGCTATTCAGAGGCACAGATTATGGGATTGTTAAATATTTTAAGCATGTGAGATATCCATTTGGAACGTCTTTATTCCAACAGGGATTTAATAATCATCTTATCCATAGCGAAACTGACTATAAGATATATAAAGAAAATGGCGGAATAAGAGGGATTGATTTGGCATTTTATAAGCCTAGAGATATATATCATACGGCAGGTGATAATATTAAAAATATTGACATTAAATCAATGTGGCATATGTTATCCAACTCCTTAGATTTTGTTGGTATTGTTTCCTCCCTGCGTATTGATTTGGATGATGAAGATTCTTCTTCAGACTCTGATGAAACAAGTCGTGAATTTGCCATCTTCTCGAGCTTCTTTAATTGGTTTTTTGTTATTCCTGTTTCGCAAGTAGTGTTTATCAGTGCTACTTGCTTAGCTGTAATTCCGTTATTAAGTTTACCACTTTTGGTCATTATTTTTAACTACAAAAAAAATTGGCACATTGGGTTTATTAATGCGATCAAATTCCCGGTATCCCTTGGTATTTCCATTTGTATCCTAAACATCATCACTCACAACTTCATTGCATCGGTCAATGAGTTTTTGCCTACTTCTTCGTATGGTTCGATTGTGACTACTTTGTATACCTTATTTTTGTTGCTAAATTACTTAATTTTGAATGGTATTAACTATATCTTTAGAGGATATAAGGGATTATATCACGATGAAAAATTGATACTAATAATTCAAACTTCGTTTATTTATTGGGTTTTATTGATAGTTTCAACAAGCAAGCTTTCAAATAATAAAATTGGGCATGACCATACAGGAGAATTCCCTTTAATTATATTATTTTTGTTGCAGTCGATTGGAGCATTATTTGGCCTTTTAAGCTGGTCTTTCAAGAAAACTAGCCGTGCTAATCTTCAAAATAATGATGATGAGGCATGCCAGGCATTGCTTTCCCAGGAAGTGCATAACAACTATGGTTCTAATGAAGCTGAACTTTCCGAATCAGGGGAGCCTATTCTGTCAAACTCATCCTTGTCCTTAAATACTACACTTTCACAAGTTACAAATAATCTAGTTAAGAATTTGCGTAAGTCATTCAGCTATGACTGGTCTATTCAATATATTGTTATTGTCCCTTTATCTTCATTGATTATTTATAACACAGGCTCGTTATTATTGAGTGGATTGAATAAGTCGATTCAAGAATCACTTAATGCAGAGAAGTTGATTTTTGACTTAATTCAGTTAGTTGCAATAGCCTTAGCTATACCATTCTTACCATTCATTTTCAAGATTAATAGACTCTTGGTAACGGCCTTGGTCTTAGTTCTTTGCCTGGGTTTCATAAGTATATTTTTTACACCAGCCTTTGATCAATTGAATCCTTTAAAATTAAGATTTATTCAATCTATTAACTTAGATTACTCGTCAGATATAAGTGTTGTTAACGTTTTTGGAAGATATGGATCTCCTATGAGCAATGTTTTACTTGATTTACCGTCTCTAAAAGAATCTAACGAAACTTTAGAATGTAAACCTTTACAAGATGGCATGCAGACATGTTCATATAAGACTTCCTTACTGCCTCATATATCGCCCGATTTAACTGACTTTAATGATTATTTGGATGTACAGATTTTGAAAAATTCCTCTTCCGATTATCCATACGGTTTATTATCAGGAGAAATAAGGATAAAAGTCCCTAAAAATAGAGTTTGCCGCTTATCATTCAATAATTCGAACTTTGAAAATTCCAAGCAGAGCCTAGTCAGAACTATATTAGTATATGAAGACAAAAGTTACGATAATGCGTCAAATGAAGGAGGGCCGTTTGAAGCATCTGGTCTTCAGGTAGCTAGTATTCCAGAGGGCTTCTCCAGAGATAAAAAAGGAACCTATATATTTAAAAATTTGAATGGAATCGATAAGCTAGAATTAAACAAATTGTCTTGGGATAAACCTTATCATGTTGGATTCCAGTGGATGCCAAAATTCGTGGATTCTGTCCTGGCTAAAAATGAAAATGACAACTATCCACATAAAACAGACTTTAATAATTTAGGAATACATATTGAATGCTTTTGGGGTGATTTAAATTACGACAAGAATGAGAGCAATACAGAGGAAAGAATCCCAGCGTACAGTGAAGTATTACACTACAGTCCTAATTATGTTAGCTGGGCTAATAAAGAAAGTGGTTTGGTTTCTGTTCTGAAATATATTGAAATCTAATAGCAGCATGGTAACACTGTTATTTATTTAGTTAATCTTTAATTTATAATAAATATTTAATCCTTAGTACTCCACTTGCCTTTGATTGCAA